TCACTGCCCCAGGTCATGGGGAGGTCTGCCCTCACTGTCCCAGGTCATGGGGGAGGCTGCCCTCACTGCCCCAGGTCATGGGGAGGTCTGCCCTCGCTGTCCCAGGTCATGGGGAGGCTGCCCTCACTGCCCCAGGTCATGGGGAAGTCTGCCCTCGCTGTCCGTCCCAGGTTTGGGGTTGTGGGGGGAGCCTGCCCTTGCTGCCCCAGGTCAGGGGGAGCTGTATTTGGAGGGGCGCCTACCTTGAGAGGTGAGGCTGGTCATGGCAGGCGTCCAGCTAAGGCTGCAGTTGCCAGTGCGGGGGTTGCAGGGACACTGGTGCTCACACTTGCAGGGACTCTGGCAGCCAGGCCCGTACCAGCCATGGGGACACTCTGTAAGGGGACACGGAGGACGGTGCTCAGGGCCTCCTTGTGCACTGTCAGACGAGCCCAGGTATAGCCTCCCTGTGCCCTGCAGGGGATGTGTGCCCCTCCCTGTGCACCACGGGGGGTATAGCCCCCATGCACCATGGGAGTATGTGTGTCCCCTGTGCACTGCGGGGAGGAGGTGTCACCCCCCACCCCGTGCACCATGAGGGGGTGTGCCCCCTCGTGCACCACGGGGGGTATAGCCCCCGTGTACCATGGGGGCGTGTGTGCCCCCTGTGCACCGTGGGGGGGTGTGCCCCCCGATGCACCATGGGGGGCGTGCCCCCCTGTACCATGGGGTGTGTGTCCCCCTGTGCACTCCGGAACAGGTGTGTGCAGAGCAGGTAGGGGCCGCAGGAGATCCCTCCAGAGCAGCTGAGTAAGCACCGTCCAGCTGCCCAGGCCAGCCCTGTAGGGTACCCCTGAGATTCTCCAGGCTTGCTGACGGTGGCTTCACCTGGGCTTACCCTGTGTACAGATGTCCCCAGTGAAGCCTGGGGGGCAGCTGCAGGTCCCACGGACCGGGTCACAGGCAGCTCCGTTCCGACACTGGCATTTCTGGGCACAGTTCTCCCCGAAGGAACCGTTGGTACAAGCTGGGACGGGGAAAGGGGGTCTTTGCAAAATCCGGCCCCGGCCCCTCCTAGACCAGGGCCCGTAGGGTTTGCAACAGGATCTCCGCCACCCCAGAGGGGACTGCAGGTTCATGCGTTCACCCGACAAAGTTACTGGGAATCTTATGGCACCAGGCCCTATGACACCGTGGGGACAGGACACAGGCCCTGCTCCCATGGAGCCTACAGTATGGGAAGGGAGACGCCACAAGGCAGTAAGCTGACAACACAGTGCTAGAAGGGACAGTTGCTGGCGGGACATGAACAGAGCATGGCAGCAGCTGGTGGGGGCTGGGGACACTTAGCTTGGCGAGGGGAGGGTTCCCTGTGGAGGTGACATTTATGCTGAGCCTTGGAGGAGGCGGAGCCACTCAGGAAACTGGGGGAACAGCAATGGCGGAAGCGAGAACATGAGGTGGGAAATCGCTTGGCCTGTTTGAAGATCCAAGGACAGGGAGGCCTGCTGGGCGCAGGAGCCGGGGCACATGGGCAGGGCCTGGCTGGACAGGGCGAGGAGGAGCCGGGGCACATGGGCAGGGCCTGGCTGGACAGGGCGGGGAGGAGCCGGGGCACATGGGCAGGGCCTGGCTGGACAGGGTGGGGAGAAGCCAGGGCACATGGGCACGGCCTAGCTGGACAGGGCGAGGAGGAGCTGGGGCACATGGGCAGGGCCTGGCTGGACAGGGTGGGGAGGAGCCGGGGCACATGGGCAGGGCCTGGCTGGACAGGGCGGGGAAGAGCCAGGGCACGCAGGGCCTGGCAGGTCATGCCAAGAAGATCGGGATTTCCATTTAGTGCAAAAGAAAGCCGCTGAAGGGTTTTAAGCTGTGGCTGGTTGTAGTGGGTTGAACTTTGTGTCCCACAAAGATATGTCAAAGTCCTAACCCCAGGTACAGGTTGTCAGGTGCCAGTCGAGTCGATTCCGACTCACGGTGACCCCGTGTTACAGAACAGAACTGCTCCACAGGGTTTCCTTGGCTGTGATCTCTACGAGAGCAGATTGCCAGGTCTTTTCTCCCAGAGCCACTGGGTGGGTTAGAACGGCCAACCTTTCAGTTAGCAGCCCAGTGCTTAACTGCTGCGCCACCAGAGCTCCTCAGAGCACAGGTAAGTGTATTTGGAAATACCGTCTTTGCAGCTGTCATTAAGTTAAGGATCTTGAGATGAGGACATCATCCCGGATTTAGGGTGGGCCCTAAATCAAGGACTGGTGTCCTGATAAGAGAAAGGGGGGGAGATTTGACACAGAGACAAACGGAGCAGACTACGTGAGGATGGAGGCAGAGACTGCAGTGATGCCGCCGCAAGCCAAGGAGCACGGACGCCACCGGACGCTGAAAGAAGCAGGGAAGGATTCTCCCTAGAGCCTTTGGAGGGGGTGGCCCTGCCAATTTTGGACTTCCAGCTTCCAGAACTCTGAGAGGATAAATGTGTTGTTTTAAGCCACACAAAACTAAAACCAAACCTGTTGCTGTGGAGTCAATTCCAACAGAGCAGAACCGCCCCACAGGGTTTCCAAGGAGTGTCGGGTGGATTCGAACTGCTGACCTTTTGGTTAGCAGCTGAGCTCTTAACCACTGCGCCACCAGGGCATCTTAAGCCACCTTGTTGTTGTTGTTAGGTGCCGTCGAGTCGGTTCTGACTCATAGCGACCCCATGTACAACAGAACGAAACACTGCCCGGTCACATGCCACCCTCACAATTGTTATGCTTCAGCCCACTGTTGCAGCCACTGCTGTCAATCTATCTCCTTGAGGGTCTTTCTCTTTTTCGCTGACCCTCTACTTTACCAAGCATGATGTGTTTTCCAGGGACTTGTCCCTTCTGATGACATGTCCAAAGTATGTGAAACGTAGTCTCGCCATCCTTGCTTCTAAGGAGCTCTCTGATTGTACTTCTTCCAAGACAGATTTGTTCGTTCTTCTGGCAGTCCATGGTATATTCAATATTCTTCGCCAACAACATAACCCAAAGGCATCAATTCTTCTTGGACTTTCTTATTTATCATCCAACTTTCACATGCATATGAGGCAACTGGAAACACCATGGCTTGGGTCAGGCGCACCTTAGTCTTCAAGGTGACATCTTTGCTTTTCAACACTTTCAAGAGGTCTTTTGCAGAAGATTTGTCCAATGTAATGCGTCCTCTGATTTCTTGACTGCTGCTTCCATGGGTGTTGATTGTGGATCGAAGTAAAACGAAATCCTTGACACCTTCAATCTTTTCTCCATTTATCATGATGTTGCTTATTGGTCCAGTTGTGAGGATTTTTGTTTTCTTTATGTTGAGATGTAATCCATACTGAAGGCCGTAGTCTTTGATCTTCATTAGTAAGTGCTTCAAGTCCTCTTCACTTTCAGCAAGCAAGGTTGTGTCATCTGCATAACACAGGTTGTTGAGTCTTCCTCCAATCCTGATGCCCTGTTCTTCTTCATACAGTCCAGGTTCTCAGATTATTTGCTCAGCATACAGACTGAATAAGCACAGGGAAAGGATACAACCCTGGCGCACACCTTTCCTGACTTTATACCACACAGTATACCCTTGTTCTGTCCGAACAACCTCCTCTTGATCTATGTACAGGTTCCTCATGAGCACAATTAAGTGTTCTGGAATTCCCATTCTTTGCAATTTCCATCCATAATTTGTTATGATCCACACAGTCGAATGCCTTTGCATAGTGAATAAACCACAGGTAAACATCTTTCTGGTATTCTCTGCTTTCAGCCAGGATCCATCTGACATCAGCAATGATATCTCTGGTTCCACATCCTCTTCTGAATCCGGCCTGAATTTCTGGCAGCTCCCTGTCGATACACTGCTGCAGCTGCTTCTGAATGATCTTCAGTAAAATCTTACTTGCGTGTGATATTAATGATACTGTCTGATAGTTTCCGCATTCGGTGGGATCACCAGCTGGTGGTAATTCGTTGAGGCAACCCCAGAACGCTAACACAGTGATTGACATGTGAGCTGAGAGTCGAGACAGGAAAACACCTACTTCCAAAGCCAAAGGCAGGGATGCTGCCCCCGCCTCCCTCCCCACCCCCAGGGGGAGTAAAGGCAGCCAGGAGCTTGAAGCTGACCCGTCACCTGCCCCCGTGTGTCCGGAGCCAGCCTATTACCTTCACTGCAGTTGGACCCGGTCCATCCAGCTTTGCAGCGGCAGCCGGCTGCCAAGACAAGACCAAGAGGGCAGGTGAGGGCCCGGGCAGGGCTGGGCAGCGAGGGCTGGGAGCCGCCTCCCCGAGCGCCGACTCACTCTCAGTGCAGAGCCCATGCCCGCTGCAGTTGGAGGGGCCGCAGTCCAGCTCGTTGCAGGCCGCTCCCCGCCAGAAGCGCCCCATGCACTGGCAGCTCCCCTGTACGCAGGTGCCGTGGCTGCTGCAGTCAGGTGGCTGGCAGCGTGGCTCGTGCAGACACACCACGGTGGACACGCGGCGGGGACAGCGCCACATGCTCTCCTTGCTGCAGGGGAAGGGTCCCGTGTGAGGAGAGGCCGCGGTGCTGGCCACCCCCTCCTACAGCCCACGGGGTCTGGTCCCTTCCTGCCTCCCACTCATTCTCACTTCTCTGGCCTTTTATGGGTTCCTGAGTCCCTGGTGCTGCAAATGGCTAATGCACTCAGCTGCTAACTGAAAGGCTGGAGGTTCAAATCCACCCAGAGGTGCCTCAGAAGAAAGGCCTGATGATCGACTTCCAAGAAATCAGCCACTGAAAACTCTATGGAACAACTTGAAGAATGTAATCAATGTCACTGAACTGTACATGTAGAAATTGTTGAACTGGTATATGTTATGCTGTGCATATCCTCAACAACAACAAAAAAGAAAACCTTATGGAGCACAGTTCTACTCTGTCATGGACTGAATTGTGTCCCCCCAAAAATATGCGTCAACTTGGCTAGGCCACGATTCCCAGCATTGTGTGGTTATCTTCCATTTCGTGATCTGATGTAATTATCCTCCATCTTGCAATGTGTTGTAAATCCTCACTTCTGTATGTTAATGAGGCAGGATCAGCGTGGGGTGTATACTGAGTCACAGCCTTACAAAAGGTTCTGACTCAAGCCACACCCTGGCTTGAGTCACACCTTTTATCTTATAAGAGATAAAAGGAGAAGCTAGCAGAGAGAAAAGGGACCTCATGACGACCAAGAAGAGCCAGGAGCGGATCGTGTCCTTTGTACCTGGGGTCCCTGTGCTGAGAACCTCCTAGACCCAGGGGAAGATTGATGCCAAGATACATGGAGATCTCCAAGGAATGCTGGGCCCACAGATGTTGAAAGGAGACAAGGGCCTTCCCTCAGAGTGGACAGAGAAAGAAAGCCTTCCCTTGGAGCTGGCACCCTGATTTTGGACTTCTAGCCTCCTAAACTGTGAGAGAATAAACTCCTGTTTGTTAAAACCATCCACTTGTGATATTTCTGTTATAGTAGCACTAGATAACTAAGACAGAATTTGGTACTGGGAGTGGGGTGCACATCTAAACAAATACCCGAAGTGTGGAAGCAGGTTAATAGGTAGAGGCTGGAAGAGTTTTAAGGTACGTAATAGTAAAAGCCTAGGTTGCCTTGAAGAGACTGTTGGTGGAATTATGGACGTCAAAGGCAAGTCTGGTGAGGGCTGGAAAGGAAGTGAGGAGAGCTACAGAGAGAGTCTCTATGGTCTTAGAGAATGCATACGGCCAGAAATGTGGATGTTAAATGTGCTTCTGGTGAGGCTTTATAAGGAAATGATGAACACGAGATTGGACAATGGAGGAAGGGTGATGGTTTTTATGCAGTGGCAAAGAACTTGTCTGAAGTATGTTCAAATGTTTGGTGAAACGTAGAACTTGTAAGTGATGAACCTGGATATCTGGCTAATGAGATTTCTAAACCAGATCTTAAAGGGGCCACGTGGTTTCTCCTTGCTGCTTACAGTAAAATGTGAGAAGAAAGAATGGACTGAAAAATGAACTGTGCAGAATGAAAACAGAACTTAAAGAGTTGGAAAATTCTGTTGTACAAACTAAGGATACGTGTCCTGGAATGTTCACCAATGATGTGGCTACACAATCTTTTGTTAACGAGATTAAGCCTGACTCATGGATCTTACCAACTACCACAGCAGAAGATTCATCAGCTTAGACTGAAGGGGACAGAGAAAGAACTGAGAATAAATTTGTTTGTTAAAGCCATCCACTTGTGGTATTTCTGTTATAGCAGCACTAGATAACTATGACCTACTCTGACACATATGGGATCACCATGACTTGGAGTCGATTTGACAGCAACTGGTTTTTTGGTTCACACTCACCACAGTTCCTCCTACCACAGGGCCTTTGCACATGCTGTCCCTGCTGCCGGGAAGGCCGTCCTCACCCCTGCCTAGCTACCTCCTCATCCATCATCATCCGCGGGAAGGTCTTTCCTGACCAATCAACCCCCTTCACAGGCTTGGGTTGTCAGCTGTGTTGTTAGCAGCTGTCCAGTTGTCTCCAACTCATGGCAACCCTACGCATGATGGAATGAAACACTGCCTGGTCCTGTGCCATCCCCATGATTGGCTGTGGATCGGATTATTGTGATACATAGGGTTTTCACTGGCTGATTTTCACAAAGTAGATTCCCAGGCCTTTCTTCCTAGTGCATCTTAGTCTGGAAAACTGCTGAAATGTGTTCAGCATCATAGCAACATGCAGGCCTCCACCGACGGATGGTTGGTGGCTGTGCATGAGGTACACTGGCTGGCAATCAGACCTAAGTCTTCTGAATGCAAGGCAAGAATTCTACCGCTGAACCACCAACACCCCCTCTGTGGTCCTGGATACCAGCACACTCCTGCATCCCGCACACTCGCTGTAAGCAGTGAGACGGTGATCACGGCTTCTTCTGTCACTCCAGAATCCCCAGAGCCTGGCACACAGTAGGGATGCAATGTTTGCTGTATGAGACAGCTGGGCAGGGAATCACTATTGGGCTGTGAAGCCTAGGGTTTTGGCAGGCCTAGGCTGGACCCTCATGAAAGGGGGCTCTGGTGGGCTTACCAGTGATCGGATGGGTAACTGGCCAAAGTCCCGTTGAGCACAAACGTGGCAGAGCCGCCTCCATCCAGGTTGATGGCGTTGACGACGCCCTGCTGCAGCAGGAACTCCGCCATCTCCCACAGGTTGACTCTGTGGCACAACATGGCAGCGCTGACGCTGTGGTCACCGCGCATCTGGTTTAACAGACTTTCAACAGTGGACAGCATCACACCCATTAGGGGAGGCAGACTTCTAAAGTGGCCCCAAAGATGTCCCGTTCTGACCGCTGGAGGCTGGGAATGTGATGAAATCACCCTCGTGATCGTGTTGGTGCATATGAGTGGACTCAATGGAATCTCTATTATCTAGAATCAGCCCCTAAAAAGTGAGACCTTTCTATGGCCAGTGGCAATAGAAACAAAGACCTCAGTCCCACAACTGCAAGGAACCGAATTCTGGCAACAACCTGAATGAGCTTGGAAGTGGATTCTTTTTCAGAACTTTCAGATAAGAGCTTGCCTGGCCAACACTTGGATTTTGTCTATGGGCTGAAGACAGAAGCCGATGGATCCCACCTGGACGTCTGACCCAGAGAACTGGGATTTAATAAACAGATGCTGTTTTAATACCCATTTGTTACGCAGCAATAGCAAACTGGTACGCTCACTTGATAGAGAAAGAAACTGTCTCAGAGAGGTCGAGCCTTGCCTGTGGCCACAGAGCAAGTGGACAAACTGGGACTGAGACCAAGGTCTCCTCCCTCCCAACTGTGTCATCTGTTCCCTTTGCCCCAACTGGGGTGCAGGAAGGACGAGGTCTTGAATTGGGGAGACTGTGAGGGGACGTGTGTGGAAGAAGATGAGCTCTTGGAAGTGCAATAGACCTAGGGCCCCTCTTCCCTGGGAAGGTGGGGGACCAGAAAGCAGGCGGGGGTCACAGGGAGGCTGCTGGTGGGGCTGAGGATGCACAAAACCAACTCAGCTCAGGCCCAGCGGCCTCAGCACTCACCCCCGCTGCTCCGTCTGCCCGTCCGCGTGGAAGAGCACCACCTGTCCCTTCTGGTCGTGGCCCACGGCCGTCCTGGCTGATAACACGTTCACAAATTTGCTGAAGGAACCTGAAGGAGAAGCAGCCTGGCTGACACCTGGCCCTTTGGGAGGCCTCACGCCTCCCGCTCTGCCCATCCATCCACCACTCTCCACCTCTTGGTCACCGCCACCACCATCTCTTGCTGGATGCCGCAGCAGCCTCCTCACTGGCCTCCTGCTCCCTCTGCCCTTTCCAGTCCAGGCTCGGCAGAGCAGCCAGACTCTCCTGGTGAAAACCCTCTGATGTTCCACTGCTCTGAGAAAAGAGTCCAACCTCCTTCCCCAGGCCCCCGAGGCCCGCACAGCCTGCTTCCCCTGCCCGCATCCCCTCTCACCACCTGCGCTACTTTCTGCCTTGGGGCTTCCACATGTTTGGGCTGGCTGAACTCCGCTCCCCCAGGCTCTTCGCATAGCTTCCTTCTTACCTCAGTCACCTCCTCAGTGAGGCCTCCCCTGACTGCACAGTCTAATCTAGCCTGTACTCCATCCTAGTATTCCCCGTCCCAGTGGTTCTCAAACTCGAGCATCCATCAGAATCAACCAGGGGGATCATTCAAACGCAAACTCTTGAGTCTCGCCCCCAAGGGTTCTGATTCAGGAGGTCTGAGGTGGGGCCTGAGACTCTGCATTTCTAACAAGCTCCGGGTGATGATCTGTGAGCATTTAGCAGCACTGCTTCATTCTCGTACCCCTGGCTCCGGGCCAGTCTCTCTCTCCTTACCCTGCTCAGCAGCTGCACGAACAGATACTTTCCTTTTCTGCCCTAAAAATTACCATTTCCTCTTAGTATATCATAAAACAAACAAACCAAAAACCAAACCCATTGCCATCGAGTCGATTCTGACTCATAGCGACCTTAGAGTACAGAGTAGAATTGCCACATTGGGTTTCCAAGGAGTGGCTGGTAGATTCGAACTGCCGACCTTTTGGTTAGCAGCCTGAGCTCTTCATGGATAAATTATCCATATATACATCCTTTCTCATACATTCTCTGAGAACAGGAACCTCGTGTGTCTTAACGTCCAGTTCGCAGAACAGTGCTGGGCACAAAGAAGCTGCTCTAGAAGTACTTGCTGGAAGACTCAAGAGTCACTTCCCTCACCACCCCACTGTTCCTGGGTCTCCAAAGGGCTGCGGCCAACCGTCCCCTGCACCCCCCGTACCCCCCATACAGACCTGTCTCCTGCGTCTCATCACACTCGGTGGCCAGGCTCTCGTTGATATAGACGCTTCCATTGCGAATCAGCCACACCACCCCACTCAGCAGCTGCACAAATGGATTCTCAGTGTCCAGCACCTCCTCCTCAGACAGGTACCTGGACATGAGAAAGGTGCGAGGCTCACTCACCAGCAGGGGCAGCTGCGGGTCATGGGGCTCCCTCCTCCTGCCCCTCAGCCTGGCTGCTTGATTCCTCCTGATGCCCAGGGACCTGCCTGGTCAGAGCTAAGTCGACAGAACTGAAGTCAGGCACAAAGGCCTGGTGATGACCTCCCCCCCACCCCATACACACACACCTCTGTAAACACTCAAGCACTTCCCAGTCTACAATTTATCTAATCCAAACAACCATCCGCAGCACATATCAAACGTTATCCATTGCCCTCAATCTCCCTGGCTGTTTCCCTAGTCAAACTACCACCTGATCCCTGTAACAGATTCTTAATTGGCCTCCTTGCTTCTACTCCAGCCTCCTCCAACCTATGTTCCACCCAGAGTTAGAGCAAGCTTTTAAAAAATCAAGCCAGTCCTGTCATCTGACACTCGGTTCCTCAAGCACACCAAGGCCCCCTGTGCCCCTCGGCCTTTGCACTAGCTGTTCCTTCAGACTGCTATGAGCATACCAGTGGGGCTCCTTTCCTCCCTCCCTCCAATTCTGACCCTGGCTGACTCAGACTTCAGGTTGCAACTCAAAGATCTCCTTCGCAGAGAGACCTTTCCTGCTCACCATCCCACAAATCAACATTCTGCTTGGCTGCGTTTACACAATCAGAACTTGTCTCGGTTGTTTACCTGGCTCGTCTTTATTTTCTCTTAACAATGGGAAAGTTCAGTTAAGGTAAAGACCTGGGTGCTGGTCACTGCCATACCCCCAATGTCCAGCACATTACCAGGCATAAAGTGGTGCGCAGTGATACTGGTTGATGAATAACTTCGGCAAAGAAGGTATTACTACGTCCGTTTGCAGATGAGGCAATGGAGGGTCACCTAGGTGACTTGAACATGGTGGTACGGCTACAACCCAAATCTCTGGCCCTCTGCCCCCGACAGCCCTGGAGCTCCCTGCCTCCTCACCCTGTGACCAGGGTCCCGTCGCGGCGGATTCCGAACTGCGCGTTCTGCAGCCCCCTGGAGCTGCTCACCCGCCGCCCGTCGCTCACCACGTTTCCCAGGCACTCGCCAGTATCCATGCGGAAGAAGCCGCCGTTCTGGGCAACACGGCAGCGCACCGTCCGCGCGGTCTCCTCCACGGTGGCGCGGTGTCTAGACGCGCAGCCGCCAGGCCCACCGGGCTCTAGCACGGAGAAGGTGCGCAGGGGAGCGGCGGCCCGGGTCAGGTGGCCGCCCACGGCGCGCCCCGCGAAGTACGAGAAGAAGTTGCGCACGGATGGGCTGACAGCGCCGGGGGGCGCGGGGGCGGGCGGCCAGCTCTCGTGCTCGCGGCGGCCGGTGTGCACTGGCGTGCAGTCCCGGGCGGAGCGCACTCGCGTGCGGGGGTAGGGCAGCAGCAAGTCGTCGTCGCGAGAGACCCTGCGGGGACCAGGCGGCGGGGAGGCTGTGAGCTCGGAGGGCCGCGCCCCGGGCAGGGACAGGCCCCCGAACCAGGCTCGCCCCCGCCCCCCGGGAGCTGCACTCACCCCGAGCCGAAGCCACCGGACGCCTCCGGGAGGGAGCCGAGCAGCGCGAGGAAGAGAAGCCAGCGACCCATGGAGGCCGCCATGTTGAGCGCGGGTCTCCGGTCACGTGGGCCGACCACACGTGACACAAGACGGTCTGGCGGCAGCTCTCGGCTCAAACTGAATTGTTTGCCCGCCTTCCGGATTGCGCAAAATGTCAACTGTCCTGTTAGTTTTTTTGAGGGGAGAAGGGAGGGGAGACTATGAGAGAGTATAACTTTTTGGCGCCTAACAACAACAGCAACATTTTGCATCAGATTCTCTTTTCTAGAAAGTGATTTACAAGCTCAAGTTTCTGCTATAGTCCTTCCCCGCCCTGGTTTGGCAATTTAAGGCTTTTACAATGAGCCGGCTTTTTCGGGCGCCAGCGACTAATCCATCCTACATTCAGGAAGGATGGGGGTGGGACATAACTTCCCCTTAATCCTTTCATGTGTGGCATCTCGGTGAATTTTGGTTTGCGAGGCAATGTGGAAAAAACCTTTGAAGCACATGGAGTGCCAAGTGGGTATTAAATTCTGGCCCCTCGGAGAAACAAAAGCAAATCAAACCTGGCAGCGAAATCCAGGAACATTCCTCTGGGCCTGACAAGAGCGATTGCGGGAAAACATTCAGCGGACAGCAGCAAAGAGGATTAGATAAAGAGAGGAAAGGTTTAGAAGAACACCTCCTCTGAGTTACTCGGCTAGGCGTGGGAGGAACGAGGGGCATTTTCATTCCGATGCTCAAAGATGACTCTGTTGTCACCAAAGAATCATCAACAGCGATTTTCCACCTTGAGGCAAAGCAGGAGGCTTTTAAATTATGAAGCAGAGTGGAAAAAACTACCAATAAAGTTTGTTAAAGTTGGAACGATTACCTAACGCCTTGGTGGAATCATGTTGGTGGGGCAGTAAAAAGAACACATTCCCAGCGTGGGACTGTAGTGATCAAAGACGGTTAAAACCCAGGGCTGAAACTGGACCAGGGTGGAGGAAACCAAATCAGCAAGAGAGATTTCAGGGACATGGCAGTCTTGGACTCCTGAGATAAGTACTAACAATAATGATAATAAAAATGACAATAATGATAAAAAAAGAAAACACATTCTAGGACCTAAGTGCTCTGCTGCTAACCAAAAGGTTGGCGGTTCAAACCCACCTAGCAGCTCTGCAGGAGAAAGACCTGGTGATCTGCTCCCATAAAGATTTAAAAAACAAAACAAAACACAAACCTGTTTTTGTTGCGTCAATTCCAACTCATTGTGACCCTGTAGCACAGGGTAGAACCGCCCTGTAGGGTTTCCAAGGAGCCGCTGGTGGATTTGAACTGCTGACCTTTTGGTTAAGCAGCCCAGTTCTTAACCACTGTGCCACCAGGCTCCCTGTAAGTAGGATTTTCTAGGCTATAACCTCTCCTTCTGTAAAGATTACAGCCTAGAAAACCTTGTGTGGCAGTTCTGCTCTGTAACATGGGGTCACTCTGAGAGTTGGAACCTACTCTACGGCACCCCAAAACCACCACCACCACCACCCAAACTATAAGAGGAAGAAAATGAAGTTAAAAAGAAAACATGTTCTTTCACACTAGGAATAGCTCTAGTGTGGAGCCTTCTGGAAGCAATGGGATGGCGGACTTACAGAGACTCCTAGCCCGAGGGCTGGGCTGTTGCTTGTTTTTTTTTTTTTCTTTTTTTACCTTGGAGTCTAATTTTGATGCCTTTCTGCACATAGACCGTTGGCACCTGAATCTGAAATACGGCTCCAGGAGGTACTTTCTCAAAACTAGTGTCAGAGCTCCAGGTAACACATTTAGATACCTCCTCCTGAGTCAGAACACAAGGGAAGACCTGGGCAAGCTCCACTTCCCGTCACACCATCACCATTACGGCAAGAGGCAACACTTCACCTAGACTTACTAGGTTATAGGTCCTGTTCTCAGTACTCCACGAAGATAACTCTCACAGCAGTAGAGGTAACATTGAGGGTGTTTTTAGTTGGAGCCCTGGTGGCGCAGTGGTTTAAGTGCTTGCCTGCTAACCACAAGGTTGGTGGTACGAACCCACCAGCTGCTCCGAGGGAGAAAGATGTAGCAGTCTGCTTCTGTAAAGATTTATAGCCTTGGAAACTCTTTGCGGCAGTTCAGCTCTATTCTGTAGGGTCGCTATGAGTCAAATTCGATTCGACAGCAACAGGTTTTATTTTGTTTTGTTTTGTTAGTTGCTGTCGGGTTGACTCCAACTCATGGCAACCTCACATGTGTCGGAGTAGAACTGCTCCATAGGGTCTTCAAGGCTGTGACCTTTCGAAGTAGATCTCCAGGCCTGTCTTTCAAGGCGTCTATGGGTGTGTTTGAACCACCAACCTGTTAACCACTAGGCAACACTGCCGCTTGTAAAATGATATCACATAATGATTCTGAAGAGTTCTCCACACAGGACCTGAAAATTAGTATATGCCACCTTCTGTGGTAAAATCTCTAGTTCTAGCTCATGAACTGTTATTTTCGGAGACCCCTGGTCCTTTCACTCAGCAAGGTATGACGGTTGACATATGAACAAATAGCCTTTATGACTCCAGTTTATGAGTCTCTGTTGGAGCCCCTGGGCGGTGCAAATGGTTAACATGTTTGACCGCTAACCAAAAGGTTGAAGGTTCGAGTCTACCCAGAAGCACTTCAGAAGAAAGGCCTGGCAATCTACATCTGAAAAATCAGCCATTAGAAACCCTAGGGAGCACAGAATCGACTTGATGGCAGCTGGTTAACTGGTAGAATTTGTGTTAAACGAGACTGAAGATTGAAAACAGAGACCTAGGGATTGCCCACTGTCGTCTTAAAGACTGAGAAGCAAGACCCAACTCATAATGCAACCCCACTCTAAATTTATTCATCCAGACCAGGGCTTCCAAACCAGTTTGTTCCAGTTCGAACCCCTGCTGAGAATTTGCATTTGTAACAAGTTCCCAGGTGATGCTAATGATGCTGGTTAGGGACCATTTCTGAGAACCACTAGTAGAGCAGTGGTTCTCAGAACTTATTATACATAAGAATCACCTAGGGATCTTGTTAAAATGTAGATTCTGATTCAGTATATCTGGGAGGCCATGCACATTCTCAGCAGGGGTTTGAACTGGAAGGAACCGGTTTGAAGCCCTGATTTACACAAGAACTTCTCCAAGACCAATGTCCCCACGGAGGCAGGGATGGTGTTGGACACCATGGCTTTCTCCGAAGGATCACAGTTCAGCATGGCAGGAACACTTGGAACATCGAGAGTTCACACACGGAAGAAGATAGCACAGACCCACTGATGAGCACTGTGATTAGCTGTAATTAGGAATGATTCGTCTCGTGACACCAGCTATTGGCTGAAGGGAACGGGGGTGGGGATGATTCAGAGGGTTGTCTTGGTCTCCAGGTGTTTTGGTCGTTTGTTCCCGAGAAGACAAGATTCCCAGGCTGGCCCGGTCTGGGCTGGGCCCCAAGCTCCGGCAAGCCCACAGGTGGAGCAGCAGGCCGGGAATTCCCAGACTCGGGTGAGTAGGAAGCCTCGTGGGAGAAGAGGCTGTAGCAGGGAACAGAGGGAGGGCCGGCGCCCAGCCCACGCACCTGGACAGGACAGGCTTCACCCTCCCTGCTCACCCCGGCTCCCCAACAACCCAGGATGGTGTATCTGGGCTGCTGCTTTCTCAGGATGGGGCCCCAGGACCCGCCGAAGGAAGGACTAAACGGGTCTGTTTCGTCTTCCGGGCGGCAGGTGTGGACCCATCTGTCTCAGGAGCTGCTTGGCAGTGATGGTGTGGATTGGAGGGCCTTTCCCTGAGCTCGGGGGTGCTCCATCAGGACATAGAGGAAGCCGCCCAGGGCTCCGACCGCCATGGCGGTGTTGTGGGCAGAGCAGCCATCTGGGGAGAGAAGTGACCCCCAGTGAGTGCCGGGGGCAGCAACCTTGGCCCCTTATTCAATACCGTTCCCTTGTGTGTCTCGACTGTTACTGCAGCCAGCTTGCGGGGACTGTATAAACGTTGTTGGTGCCCCGCACGGACCCTCTCTCTTGGGTCTGAAACCCACGTTTTAGCTGCTGGGAGTGTTGGCTGCTAATGGCTGTCTTCTCTGGAGAACAGCTGTCAGCCCATTGCAGCCTCCTCCCTTGGGAGATTATGCCCCGTCCCCGGGTGACTCCCACCACCCATCTGTCAGCGTGTTGTGCTGTGGTGGTCTGTGTGTTGCTGTGATGTTGGAAGCCATGTCACCAGTATTTCAAATACCAGCAGGGTCACCCATGATGGACAGGTTTCAATGGATCTTCCAGACTAAGACAGACTAGGAAGAAAGGCCTGGTGATCTACTTCCAAAAGTCAGCCAATGAAAACCCCTATGGAGCACAACGGTCTATTTTGTAAGCGATCATGGGGATGGCACAGGACCAGGCAGCATTTAGTTTGCTCTGCGTGGGGTGGCTGTGGGTCGGGGGCTGACTTGACAGCAGCTAAGAAGAGCCTTCCTTCCCTCCACCTCCCAGACATGACCTGTGCCCCTTCAGTGATGGCGGGGGCTGTCTTCTCTCCAATACTGTGCGTGGAAGAAGATGAACACAGGCCCCCACTTTGCTAGGCGTCTCCAGTGCACACCACGGACGCCCCCCGGGTATTTTCCTCACCTGTAAATTGTTTTTCTCGCCTTTTCACTCTGCTCAAAAAATGCTGGTGGTATCGAGTGGCTTTAGATAATCTGTCATCTTCAGGAGCTGATGATGGGGAACAGGGAGAGGAATCTAAGATCAACTTCTCGAGAGGGACATTCAAACTTACTAACCCTCCCACCCGCCTCAAACCGCCTGAAGCACCTCAGGTCTTCTCCTGTAACTGGTGGAGTTTCCGGACGCTTCCCCGACACCTGTCTGTGGATCCTTCCACCTGGTCTAAATTTGTCTCCGATGGTTTTTCAAAGGGTGATTCCCCAGCTAGGCACATCAGAACCGGAGGGGCTTTCTAAAGATGAAGGTTCCACAGCCCCACCCCTGACCTGCTGAATCTATAGGGCTGGGGACGTGAGAATCTGCATTTTACAAACCTCGATGATTTAAAACAGACTATCTTATTTCAAAACCTCTGCTTTTTTGAGCACCCCAAGCTTCTCATTTAGGATTTACTGGGAGCTTCCCCTGCACTGGAGTCCCTGGGTGGTGCAGAAGGTTCATGTGCTCGGCTGATAACTGAAAGACTGTAGGTTCAGGTCCACCCAGAGGTGCCTCGGAAGAAAGGCCTGGCGATCTACTTCTGAAGAATCAGCCATTAGAAACCCCATGGAGCACAGTTCTACTCCGACACACTTGGGTGTGCTGTGAGGTAGTGGCAGCTAGTTATTGGCCTGGTAGTTTCACATACATCGTGTCTGCTGTTCTTCCAGCTCAGGAAGGTGGATATTATGATGCTCGTTTATTTACAAACGGGGAAAATCGAGGCTCAGAAAGGTGAAGCGACTTACCCCACAAACACCCAGCTGCCACCTGTCACACAGCTAGAAAGGGGCCATGCCCTCAGTCCCTCTCCGCAGATATGTCACCTCTCCCAGACGTCTCCCCTGACCACTTCGCCTAAGGAACCTTCCCAGCCTCCTCCTCTTCCCCCTCCCATTGTCTCCTTCACAGCCCTTATCAGAACCTGCAGCTGTTTTATCTGCGTGTCTGTTGAGGTGGTCTCTGCCTCTCTTCCTAAGGGTCCTGTTTTCCCTCTGTCTGTCTCGTTCCCCACTGTATCCCCAGAGCCTAGAACAGCGCCTGGCACGTAGTAGGCGCGGTAAATACTCGCTGAATGAGTGAATTTGCTAATGCAGGTCCAGGGGATTAGACGTCTTCCAAGGAGATGGCATCCCATCCTGCATAATTTTGGCTTCCAAAGCTCCCAGCTCATTCCCACCGTGTGCGTGCGTGCACGTGTGTTACAAAGCTCTCTCCATACTCCTAACACACTGCATCCTTTTCCCATCTGGCCTAGAATGTGCAGCCCAGTCCCTCCCCCCACCCCAGCCAGGGTGGAAGCACAGCTCACCCGGCTTCCCGAAGCATCCTTCTCTCGGCTTCTGCCAGCTGAGGATGGCTTCCAGCCACCGGAGCTTGTAGAAGTCGATGAATCCGCCAATTCCACACAGCATGACTGGAAGCAAAGACAAGGGGGCCCCCTGCAGGCCTGCTCGCCGGGTATACCTCGTCCCTCTCCCCAAGGCCACCACGGGGGCCACCTGTCTCCTCCCCAAAGGCCAGGCAGCCTAGGAGGAGGCACCCAGTGCGCTGGCTGGAAGAGGCAGCCCAAGGCTCTGCCTTAGCAACAGGGGGCTCCTAGATTTGTGCTCTGCCTCCTGCTTAGGTCCTTAGTCGGAGCCACTCAAGAGTCGGGGTCCGTAAACGAGTTTGTACACTCAAGCAAGTATATAAGTATATCCCAAATATTGCATGGGACATACTTATACTAAAAACTTAGCCATTTATCTGAAACTCCAGTTTAACTGGATGTTAAACCCAGGGCCTCCCTTTTGGCCTCATCTCTAAGGCTTTCAGAGTCTGTCAGTCAGTCAGCTGGTCGGTCAGTATGTCCGGTGCTTCGTCACTGGGTCAGTCTTTTGGAGGCAGACAGCAGTCACGTGGTGGTGGAGAAGGCAGTCTCTGTGTTAGGGCTGCCAGATAAAATACAGGACACCCAGTTAAATCTGAGTTTCAGATAAACAATGGATCATTTTTTTACTACAGTAAAACCTGCGAAATCCGGGACCTGTGTAAGGCAGAAACCTGTCAGAGAAGGACAACTCAAACATTTTCCACTAAAATGGGGGATAGAAAAGTGGTAAGACTGCACCCTGTCAAAGGTGGAAAACTTGCGAGACCCGGAAAAACAAGGCGGTCCCATTGAGTTCCAGCTTTCACAGGCTTCACTATGTAAGTATATCCTATGCAATATTTGGGATATACTTAAACTAAAAAAAATTTTTTTTGTTTATCTGGAACTCAGATTCACCTGGGAATCTGGTATTTTTATTTGCTGTATCTGGAAACCCTACTGTGTGCATGCGTGTGTGTGTGTGTGTGTGTGCGCGCGCGCGTGTGCACGCGCGCTCATGCCCTGAATCAGGGAGACCCTGCTGCTTTGCCTAAGGGAGGAATGTGGGGCGCACTGTTTTCCATGAAGATGTCCTGGGTGGGGTTGGCATATCCGGCGGCCTCAGCTCTCCGGTTCAGATCCATCATGTTGGCACAGAAGAGGTCCATGTAGTGCTGGCTCTGGAGGAACAGCCCTTTGGTGCATCCCATCTAGGGGACAAACACCCAGAGACAAGGAAGTGAGTACCAATGGCAGCCGCTCACTGCAGCTGCTACAGGGGAAGATGTGCAGTTGTGTGGTGGTCTTGCAAGTGGCTGCATTTGGAGCAGACCTTCCCCCTTTTCTCGAGATTTCTTCCCCACCACCACACACAGCTTATTTGGGCTCCCTCACTGGAGAACTGCTGTGGGTCAGAGGGAGATGAGTTCAAGTCCTGCTTCTGCCACTCACTAGCTGTGTGACCTTGGCCAGCTGAATTAACCATTCTGAGCTCCTCTGGGGCGGGGGGGGCCGTGCCACTAGCAGGTGAAGTAGAGGATGCCTCGTGTGGGTGGCTGAAATGAAGCCCAACGCCGGGACACGTTCTGAAACTGTTAGCCGCTATAATGCATTCTGATTTGGGACCGATCCTTCAGTGCTTCTCAAAGTGTGGTCCGAGGGCCAGGGCTGGTCCCTGGACTGTGACTCAAGGAGGACAGGAGCTGACAGAAGGCTTTAGCAACTTCTACAGCCACTTGTCAGAGTCATTTTCTATCTGTTGAATCTAATAATTCAGTTTCTTTATAATTAAGTTTTACTGTATTTTACAGAAATATTGGTTGTGGCAGCTTGAGAATAAGTAATACAAAACTGTCAAACAAAAACAAGTTGCTTTTCTGCTAAGAATTTCTGGACACCAGATAACATTTTTGAAGAGAGATAATGAGCCCCACCTGCTTCATAGATAATGCAGAAATACATATTTAAAAAATTATTATTTACCACATTTGAGCTCTTGACACCCCAACCCTGGCTTCTGTTCACAGGACCCAATGGACAGACCCTCTGCCCCAGATGCGATCCACGACACGTCTCTGCCTCGTCCCGGGCCCCGCAGGCCACAAGGGGGCGCTGTGCACTCAGGTCACCGGAGACCACAGGGACTCCCTCCCGGTGTGGGCCGGCTGGCAACAGCCTCTTCTTGAAGCCTCTCCTTTTTCTCTCTCAACAATTTCCACCTAATTTTTAAAAGTGAAGCTAAAACAAGCGCACAAAGCTCAGTCTCCTCTTGGATGCTTTACCATCATTGCTACTTTGTGCCGTTTCACCATCACAGCTGCCGATGAATCCCAAGGGGGAGAAGTATCGCCCAAAAAGCAAGGAAAGGTTGATGCTTCGGACTCTCCCTTCTTTCCTTCTGCTCCCAAGCCACTCTCTCCTGGGTGGTTACTGCTGACGACAGCCCACTGCCCCTCACTCCTGATTGGTTCATCTACCGGAAGCGGCTACCAGAGACGCCATCCTAAGTCCTCGGTTTGTTGTTGACTGAGTTCTTTAAGCTGCTTTTCTTTAATTCCCTCTAGTGCCTTTTGTAAGGAGTCTTGGTGGCGCACTTGTTGAGCCCTCGGCTGCCAACGGAAAGGTCTGTGGTTCGAACCCACTGGCTGCTTCACCGGAGAAAGATGTGGCAATCTACTTCGGTAGAGATTACAGCCTTGGAAACCCTGTGGGGCAGTTCTCCTCTGCCCTATAGGGTTACTAAGAGTCGGAATCGACTTGATAGCAACGGGTTTGTTTTTTTTTTTTGCCTTTTTTTCTGACGCCCTATGGTCCAGTTCAGCATGCAAAGGTATCTATCTGGTTTGCAGGCCAACAGAATCACAAATCGTTCCCCGTCACTGTAGCAGATCCGTGCCCAGTTCCTCTCCCTTCTCCCTCCTCATGTCTCAAGCACAAATCCAAAAAGGCGCTGGTTTCTCCAGGGTGCAGCACACAAAACCACCGCCATTCAACCAGTTGCCGTCAAGTCAGTTCTGACACGTGGCGACCCCATGTGTGTCAGAGTAAAATCAGCTCCATAGCGTTTTCAGTGGTGATTTTTCAGACATAGAACGCCAGGCCTTTCTTCCAAGGCACCTCTGGTTGCACTCGAACTTTCAACCTTTCAACCTTTCAGTTAGCAGGCAAATACGTTAACCATTTGCACCACCCAGGGACTCCATACTGCCATTAACCCCTTGCTGTCAAGTCAGTTCCAACTCAGTGACCCCCACCCCCATGTAACAGACATAGACCTGCCCCATAGGGTTTCCTAGGCTGTAATCTTTATGGAAGCCAGGTCTGTCTTCCATGGAGCAGCTGCTGGATTGGAACCGCAGACCTTTCGGTTAGTAGCTGAGCGCTTAACCTTGTACCATTAGCCCCTTTTCACCTTTCCCGTGCCTCCACGGGCCGTGGCCACCCTGTACTCACCATTCTGGCGGAGAGGAAGTAGAGCAGCTGGTGGGACAAGCAGTAGCCCGAGCAGCCGGCCCTGGTCATGAGGGTCCTGCAGAAGTCCGAGAGCCTGCAGGGCAGGCTGCGGTCCGGCCTGGGGGAAGAGGTTCCAGGCCATTAAGGGAGGAGATCCTAAAGGAATCCGAAGGCATGGAGCCACTCCACTCCCACCCGCACCTTCCCTGGGCATGATCCCACTCTTGTCATTAGGCCCCTAACAGCTTCCAGGCACCCAGCTGGGCACGAGTAGGGATGTCAGATGAAATACAGGGGTGTGTGTGTGTGTGTGTGTGTGTGTGTGTGTGTAGAGGCGACAACTTGGACAAGGCCTTCAAGTGGGAGGGAGCCTTTAAGAACCTGAGGGGGGTCCCAGGAGAGGGGCCGGGGGCCAGGCAGCGCCCAGAAGGGCAGCAGGAGTTTGGGCTTTGTCCCGAGAACAAGGGTGTGGTTTTGGAAAGCGCTCTCTGGTTAAAGTGCGAAGTCCCAGGCAGGGATGGACGTGGAGACCGGTCAGGAGACCTGGGTGGAGTCCAGGGGATGGTGTGGTGGGGCCAGGCTGGATGCAGTGGTTGCGGGTGGAGGGTGGCAGAGGCGGGCAGGCTGCTGGCTGGTGGACTGACTGGGGAGGGCCAGAATTGGGGGTGGGACAGGGAGGAGTCGGTGACTCCTGGTGGAAGAGGCTGCATAGATCCGGCTCACTATCATTACTCCCCGTTGCTAACGCCCGCATTGGCTCATGGTCTTGTTTTTCTCTCCCATTCCAGTCTCTACAAAAAGTTTAAGAATAACCGATACTCCTTCTTGGAGGCTGGAAAACAAGAGAGAATGATCTAGGAATGAAAAACCAAACAAAGCGTCCGCCTTGTGACAAGAAAATCAGGATGTCACCAGATAACCCCCAAGAATATCAGTAAAAGATTAACTCATCTGGGACGTGACCACCTCAACGGGGGACTAACACAAACTTCTAAGACCCATGATCCTGTCCCTGTAAAGCCTTCGGCTGATCTCCAGTGGGGGAGACAGGTTTTTGGAGGAATCTATTCCGCTCTGTCTCCCATAGATCGATACATAATAAAACTCTTGCCGCTCACCTCACCTGTCTCAGAATTGGCTATTGCGGCGGGCGGCTCTAATCCGCGCGGTAACACTGGGGGACCTGGGCCTGGTTTTGCACGGACCCTTGGGTTCAGCTGTGGGAACTTGCAGAGACAGTGGGACCAGAGGAGAGCACTTTGGGGTTTGCAGGAAGCGGGGCAAGTCAGCTGAACCCACCCGGTTCCCAGCAGCTGCACCAGGCATCTGTCACTGCTGTCCTCTGAGAAGGAGTCTTCGGGCTCGAACGTGGGGTAGACCATGGAGGCGTTGGTGCGGGTCCAGGCGTGAGGAAGCTTCCAGAACCCCGGCTGGATGGTTGGCTGGAACTCTGGCCGAGAGCAGAGGCAAGGTGGGGAGAGGCAGGGCAGCCACCCAGTGGCCAAGGTGTAAAATCCACACGTGGCCAAGGGGCTTCCTTAGTATTAGCGACCAGGCCTGGGAGGAAGGGGGCCACAGGCAGGAAGAGCCAGTTGCAGCCCTATTGTTTCAGATCCAAGTGTGGACTGGCTAGTAACCGCCCTCACTCCAGGCTCTGGGGCTCAGGCCAAGGAACTGGATGTCCTGCCCCGACCTGCTCCCCGACCCCATGCAGGGGCTGCTCGGAGCTCCAAGCCTCTCCTGCGGGGAGCCCATTGGCTTTGAAATGCACAGGAAGCGCCTTTACACGTACATTTTTTAAAGTCGTCAGAATAGCGTCCAGCCAGGGTTTGACTTGTTGTGTTTTGTGCTGTCAAGTTGATTGTGACTCACAGCGACCCCACGTGACAGAGCGGAACTGCCCCATAGGGCTTCCAAGGCTGTAATCGTCACAGAAGCAGATCGCCAGGTCTTTCTCCCTCAGAGAGGCTGGTGGGTTTGAACTGCCAACCTTCTGATTATCAGCCAAGTGCTTAACCATTGCGCCACCAGGGCTTCTAGCTTTAACTAGATTCATGGTATCTCATGGAGGCTTAGGATGCTTAAAAAGGATTAGAAGACTCCTTTGGTTTGGGAGTCCCTGGGTGGTGCAAATGGTTAACGCACTCAACTGCTAACTGAAAGCTTGGAGGTTCCAGTCTACCCAGAGGTGCCTCAGAAGAAAGGCCTGGCGATCTACTTCCAAAAAATCAACCACTGAAAATCCTATGGAGCACAGTTCTACTCTGACACATATGGGGTCGCCATGAGTTGGGGTTGACTCGGTGGCAACAGGTGCAACTTTCCACCTGGGAACAAGCCAGGCCAGGTTTATAGGATGGGGCCACTTGTAGGTAACTCTAGGCTAGCAAGGAAAGAGAAACGCTGAGCATTGTAGGGCCCTGGAGATATGCTAGCAAGACGTTAGTCTTTGCAGTACAAATAGTTGAGTTACCTTGTAGATATTCCACCCCCGGGACAGACCACTAGTCTAGGATGAGGCCCCCAACCCTGGAGGTGAGCTGAGTAGGTGAGGCCGACACACTCCCTGCTCTCCAGCCACTCCGAGGGTGCAGGAAGGGCCATCTCACCTGGAATCAGGGGCGACTGGACCTTCCCCGGGGTCCACCTGTGGTTATAGGTGGTCCCAACCCTCCCCTGCACCTGACGAGCCTGCACTAGGTTATTTCATTAAACACCCCCAGACCCTACATTCCTGAAGAAGTGGGGCTCCACCCGTGCAGTTACCTCGTAGGTAGGTGGGGTCACTCAGCTTCTGGTAGGAAATGGATCTGTGGAGGAGGGTCACCAGCCTCCCAGCCAGCCTTCCCACACGCAGGCTCAGCGGCCGCAGCAGGGGGTCCCCGGCCCGCTCCTCCTGAATGCCTTTGAGCTGCTCTGGGAGGAAGCACGGTTGGTTCATTCGCCATGCGTGCAGGAAAAAAATGTACTAAGTTATGATACTGTAATGGGGTGAATTGTGTCTCCCCAGAAAGGTACGTCCAAGTCTTAACCCGCAGGACCTGTGAAGGTGACTGTTATGGATTGAATTGTGTCCCCTCAAAATGTGTCGTGAATACTGTGTATTACTACGGTTGTAATCCCATCTGGGAATGGGTTTTCTTTGTTATGTTAATGAGACAGTATTAGTAGGGTGTGTCTTAAGTCAATCTCTTTTGAGATAGAAGAGATAAAACAAGCAGAGATGGGGGAAGAGAGATGCCAAGCCACTGAAGACAGCCGGGAAACCAAGGGACATGGACTTTCTCCCCCGCCCCCGGCCAACAGAGAAAGCCTTCCCCTAGAGCCAGCGCCCTGAATTCGGACTTCCAGCCTCCTAAACTGTGAGCAAATAAATTTGTTTGATAAAGTCACCCACTTGTGGTATTTCTGATCTAGCAGCGCTAGGTAACTAAGATACCTTGTTTGGAAATAGGGTCCTTGCAGATGTAATTAAGATGTAAGTTAAGATGAGGTCATATTGGATTGGGGAGCCCTGGTGGTGTAGTGGTTAAGCGCTCAACTGCTAACCGAAAGGTCAATGGTTCGAACCCACCAGTTGCTCCACGGGAGAAAGATGTGGCAGTCTGCTCCCGTAAAGATGTATAGTTTTGGAAACCCTATGGGGCAGTTTTACTCTGTCACATGTGGTAACTATGAGTTAGAATCGACTCAACGGCCATGGGTTTGGGCATCTCTCTTGCCTCACCCTGGTCCCTGCTGGTGGGGGAAGGGGCAGAAGTAGGTCTTGGGGCTCTCCAGGATGCAACCTGGGAGATCAGGGGTACAGAGGGGACGTTGGGGAAGGCCATGTGGCCGTGAAGTCACGACGTGGCCCCAGGGACAGATGCAGACCTTCCCCGGAGCCCCACCTCCTGCTGAATCTTGAGTTCCCAGGCGGGCAGAAACCTTACTGTCAACACAGAGAAGGTGATTCGGAACGCCCACCGCCTGGCCCTGCCGAACATGCTGTCACCAACCCCGGGCAGCTGCAGGGAGGGGCTCACTCGAGGTGGGAGGGCTGGTCCCTGTTTGCCTTGGCCCGTCTCCAGCCCACTCCTCAGGGATCTTAAACCTCTCAAAGCTGAACAAACACTTGAGTGTTTTCTCAGAGCCTCCAGGTGGCTTTGGCTGGGAACGGAGGAAGTTGGGGTTGGGACCCAGTCTGGAGGGTCTCCAGTTTGGTCCCTGGACCACCTTCCTGCCAGAGAAGCAGCCACCCCATAAATGCCCGTTGGAAGGACACACTCCCACTGCCTGCCTTGTTAGCGGCATGCCAGAGGGGGCGGCCCAATGGATCATCCCCCAGGAAAATAACAATTTCCAACTCTTTTCTCATGCTGCCTTGAAATCCTTCCTACTTCTGAAACTTTGCTGACAGCCAGGCCCCAGACACCCAGGAGGAGCAAGCCACGCTCTGTCCCCTTCCTTAGAGCCGAAGCAGGTTACTCGGATGCCAGGCAGCCAGAGGACCCAAGCGTGTGGAGTGGGGCAGGGCAGGGCTGTTGCTCCCCGGGAGCTCACCTACCTTGCAGCACCCGGAAGCCCACCACGCCGTCCAGGTTGAGCTCAGGCAGCCTCTCCTCCAGGAAGACAGTGGCTCGCTCCAGTGCGGAGAGGATCAGGCGTGCAACGGTGGCCTTGACCTCTGGGGTGTCTAGCTGTGGCAGCAAGGAGGGCTGCAGCGGCGACGGGGCCAGCAGTAGGAGCAGGAGCGGCAGCCTCAGGCTGGACATGGTTCACTTCTGCTCCCAGCCAGTCAAGTGCTTCTGCACCCTCGCGGCTCTGGCTGCCTCCCCCGCCTCCGCCCACCTCCTCCTTCTCCTCCTCCTCCTGCAGACAGCAAAGTGGCCAGGCAAGGCTGACCCAAGAGGCTGGGGTAGCTGGGCCAGACGAGGCTGCAGGAGAGGGCTCGAGGAAGGACAACTGTAGATGGGTGAAGCAGCTACCTGCAAAGCTGTTGTCTTGTGTGGTCGAGTTTATTCCGACTCCTGGAGACCCCATGTGTTACAAAGTAGAACTGCTCCATAGGGTCTTCTAGGCTGTAATCTTTACAGATGGGAGTCCTAGTGGCGCAGCAGGTAAGAGCTCGGCTACTAACTGAAACGGTGCCGGTTAGAACCCACCAGCTGTTCTGCAGGAGAAAGACGTGGCAGTCTGCTTCCATAAAGATTACAGCCTTGGAAAGCCTGTGGGGGCAGTTCTACTCTGTCCGATAGGGTTGCCATGAGTCGGAATTGACTCAATGGCAATGGGGTTTTTTGTTCATCTTTATAGAAGTAAACTGCCAGGGTCTTTTTCTTCTGCAGTGCTGCTATGTGGGTTTGAACCGCCAACTTTTCGGTTACCAGCTGAGCGCAAACAGCGCCACCCAGGGACGTTATACAACGTTGGGAGGGTTGGATCTCGTGAGCGACGTTTGTGCTGGCTCTGGCTAGTGATTCCCTCTGCTCCTCTCCCCCCAGGGAACGACCCCACTCCTTCCCAATAGGGGAGTCATGTCCCAGAAAGCAGAACGTTTACTCTTGGTTTGTCATAACCATGGGGCCTTGTCCTTATCCTCTGAATTGTCAGAGCTGGAGGGGCTCTCTGAGACCGTGAAGACCCCTCCCTCAATTTACAGGTGAGGAAAGCCAACCGATGGGGGACCTGCCTAAGGTCAAGCGCGGAGCCAGCACCTCTCGGGGCTGCGGTCTCCATATCTCTGTGACCTTCCTGGGGTTCTACAGTGAGTGCCCCAGGTCGCAGGTCCCGAGGTGGGTGGGGGCTGTGTTGGGTGCCCTGCGTGTTCTCAGCAGCCCCCAGGATGAGGCAGCGGGGTAGCTTCACCAACGTACTCTCAGTTTCTCAGCAACAGGACCCCTTTCAAAGTCAAAAAAACGGTCACAAGGGCACGCTGAACCCTTCACTGTGGTTCCTTGCTAACTGCCCCTCCTGACTTCTAGCAGTAGAGACTGGCTCTGGATTTGACATGGATGGGATCGTGCAGCATCCGGCTCTTCTGCTCTGCACTGTGATTATGAGATTCCTCCAAATTGTTCTCACTCTATTTTTAAATTGTCTCAAAACTTAAAAAAAAAAACATGTTTTTAGATCCCCACTTGATAACAGCTTTACTTTAATAGTGGAAATTACATAGGCGTTTAAGAGGGTGTGTGTGTGTGTGTGTCTGTGTGTGTGTGTGTGTGTCTGTGTGTGTGTGTGAGTGTGAGTGTGTGAGAGAGAGAGGGTGGGGGGGAGAGAGTGAGAGAATGAGGGAGTGTGTGAGAGAGAGAGGAAGAGAGAGACAGGGGAGGAGAGAGACGAAGAGAACAGAGAAACACTGAGAGGGGACAGAGAGAGTGAGATTGAGTTGGCCCCTGGGGGCGGGGGGGGGTCTCCCCTAGCGGTTCCGCGGACCCCCATTTTGGGAACTAAGTCTCTGCGGCTGCGCACAGCGTGCCCGGTCAGCGGGCGGGGTCACGTGGCTTCTGCCAGCTGCCAAGATGGCGGCGTCCTGCGCGGCTCTGCTGCTGACGTCCTTGCTGCTGGCGTTGCTACTGCTGCTGGGCGTGTGGAAGCGCTGGCGGCGGTGGCGGACCACGGCCCGGCACGTGGCTGTCGTGGTGCTGGGCGACTTGGGCCGCAGCCCCCGCATGCAGTACCACGCGCTGTCGCTGGCCAAGTGCGGCTTCTCTGTGACCTTCCTGGGGTTCTACAGTGAGTGCCCCGGGTCGCGGGTCCAAGAGGGACACTGCTCCCTCCGCATTTTGACTGCTGGCTTTGACCGCCCCAGGGATCCGAGGCCGGGGCGCCCCTTTACTGTCTCCTCTCTCGGGCAGTCCTTCGAGATTGAACGAGCCCGGTTCTGGCCTGGACGGCTGGTTCCCGGTTTTTGCTCCATCCTCTGCTGAGTGGGTCGCTAGCAACAGCTTGCCATGTACCAGCTGTGCCACGTTAAGTGAATTCATTTTATGATCATACTTATTCGCCTAGTAAGCGGGAGCTGGACTGGAACCCGGTGCGTGTAACTTTGGGGCACCTCCATGTGCTACTCCTGCGTCAGGCTGTGCTTCAGCGCAGCGACAACACGTCCCTTACCTTGGTTCCTCACCCTCAGCCGCGAGCTCTGCAAGCAGGAGATGTTTCGTTTATGCCGCAGTCTAGTTTATTTCCCCGTGTCTGCTCCTCCATTTTTCTCCGTATTGACATCTTTGGAGGGTAGCGTAACCCCATCCTGTTTGTTGTTAGGAGCCCATGGGTGGATTTCGACTCATAGCAACCCCATGTGACAAAGTAGAACTGCCCCCTAGGGTTTCCTAGATTGTAATGTTTATGGGAGCGGATCGCCACATCTTTCTCTTGCAGCGCCGCCGCATGGGTTCCAACCGCTAATCTTTCTGTTAGCAGCCCAGCGCTTCACTGTCCAGCCACTAGGACTCGTTGGTCCCTGTTTAAAGTCTTCTATCCCCGGGTCGCGCAGTGGTTAAAGAGCTCCGCTGCTAACCAAAAGGTTAGAAGTTCAAACCCACCAGCCACTCCTTGGAAACCCTGTGGGGCAGTTGTACTCTGCCCTTTAGGGTCACTGTGAGTCTAAACGACTCCTCGGCAATGGGTTTGATTTTTTTCTTTTTAAAAATCCCCAGGTGAAGGGATGGATTGGGACTTCCTAGGGGTCTCACCGTGGTGGGATAATTCCACCATCCCAGAATTCAGGTCAGCTTAACTGAGGACCAGCTACGTTGGCCAGCCAGAGATTGTGTTAAGTAAAGGTGGATACAATTTGGGCTCTCACCCTGTGGGCAGGCTAGTGGAATCCAGACAAAAACAGGCCTCATTATTTGTTCTGGCTACTGAGGAGCAGAGAGATGTTTTGAAAAGTCTTATTTTCCAGAATACTGCTTCTTCCACTCTTCAGCCTGGTTGGGAGGATTCCTGGCTTTAAGTTACATCACCCCATCCCAGGACTGATAGAGACATTCTGGTTGGACATTAAAGGGGACATTGTCATTTCAGACTCCAAACCCCGTGCTGAGCTCTTGCAGAATGACAGAATTGGGATTGTGGGGTTGACAGAACTTCAGATGCTTGCAGGTAGGATATTTATCAGCTCTGAATTCCTCTGAATCCGCTGGGGGAGCCTGCAGATTGCGGAGTTCTCCTTGGGTAGTGACAGCCATTTTCTGACTTACAGTTGGGCCCCGTGTTCTCCAGTACGGAGTCAAAGTTGTCGTTCAGGCATTGCAGCTGCTCTGGGCTTTTGTGAAGATGGAGCCTGCAGTCTACATCTTCCTGCAGGTATGCATCAGCTCCCACCTCCCGAACCATTGTTAACAATTTTCTCTTACTTTCCAGCCTTTTAAAAATGCACAAATTGATAAATAAATTGCATATGCATATATGTATATAAACTTTTAAAACGCATGAGTAGGAACCTATGGCATGTGTTCTTTCTGTTTATGGTACCCATACTATTTTGGGGGGCAGTGGCGGTTCAGTGATAGCATTCTCTCCTTCCATGCAGGAGAATTGGGTTCCATTCCTGGCCGATATAGCTCATGTGTAGCTACCACCCGTCTGTCAGTGGGGTCTTGTGTGTTGCTATGATGCTGAACAGATTTCAGCAGAGCTTCCTGACTAAGACAGACTAGGAAGAAAGGCCTGGTAACCTACTTTCAAAAATCAGACAGTGGAAACTCTGTGGATCACAGTGGTCCCCTCTGCCGCAGATTAGAAGGATGGCGCAGGACCAGGCAGTGTTTGTCCCATTGTACGTGGGGTTGCCATGAGTTGGGAGCTGACTGGAAGGCAGCTAACAACAACAACGTACGAGTTTTCGGTACCGGGACGATAGAGCCGACGCTTTACGTTGTGCTTTTTACGTACTAGTTTCTGTTCTAAGACATGTATTAACTCATCAAGTCCTCACAACAACCCTGCAAAGTAAGTTCTTGTGTATCTACAATTTAGAGATGAGGGAAGCTAGACCCAGAGAGGCTCTGTGAGCAGCCCATCGTCACACAGCTTGGAACGGCAGGAGCGAGGATTTGGATCCAGCCAGTCAGCCTGGTTCTAGTGTTAGCGCACTTAACCTGTTCCCTTCACGGCTTCTTTTTCTCCCCACATAGTAGGTCCTCTTTGAGTGTTTCCTTCCCTCTACTGCATTTTTGGAAAAACTGCAGTGAAACTAACCTAAAATTCAGCATCTTAAAGTGCACAATTCAAGGGCATTTGGTACCTTCACAGGGCTGTGCAAGCACCACCTCTGTCTAAGTTCCAAAACACGTTCCTCTCCCCAGAATAAAGCCCCGTACGCATGAAGCAGCCACTCTCCATTCCTCCTTCAGTCCAGCTCCCGGCAGCCACTAGTTTACTTTCTGTCTGCGTGGACTTGCCTGTTCTGGGCATGTCCTGTGAAAGTTGTGGCCGCTGTTGAGTCAATTCCGATTCATAGTGACACCATGCATGCAGAGTAAAACCTGCTCCATCGGGTTTTCTTGGCCGTGATCCTAATGGAAGCAGATCGCCAGGCCTGTCTTCTGAGGTACTGCTGGGTGGGTTTGAACCGCCAACCCTTATGTTAGCAGTCGATCGTGAATCTCTTGTGTCACCTCGGGGTCTTTTTCACATGAATGGAATTCCTAGCAGTGGAATTGCTTACTCAGAGCTTGTGTGCTTTTAAGAGGTTGTAGTATGTTACTGGCTAGCTCTAGAGTAATGTTGGGCTTGTCTAGCCCCCACCAAATGGGGGTGCCTCTGCCCCCACACCCTCACCACCTCTAAATACTGCTAGACCTTTTTCAGTCTTTGCACTCCGCTAGGTGACAAATGGCACCTCCATGTTCCACACCGCCATGATTTTCAGTGATCTTGGACTCTTCACGTTGGCCGGTTCTGCTTCTCTTATGACATTTTAACCTTTTTTTTTCAGGGGAAGGTCTTTTTCCTGCTTATTGATGAGCAGGAACTCTGTAAAGATAACTACTCTTTGCCATGTATATTGCACCCGTTCTCACCCTGTTTGTGGTCGACTGTGGGCTGGGTTTCCTCCTCTTGATTCGTGTCTGCCTCCTTCCAGAACCCCCCGGGGCTGCCTGGCATTGCCGTCTGCTGGCTTGTGTGTTGCCTCTGTGGGGGCAAGCTCGTCGTCGACTGGCACAACTACGGCTATTCCATCATGGGGCTGGTGCACGGCCCTACCCACCCCCTGGTTCTGCTGGCCAAGTGGTGAGCATCTGGGAAGAGGGGCAGGCCACCTCAAGGCGGGGTGTGGGTGAGCGGGAAGAAGGGCGGCAGTGCGGAGACTTGGTGGAGCTGGGCCCTGGGAGCCCCGCAGGAGGAGGGGGTGTGTGTGGACAGGTGGGATGGAGGGCGGTGGTGCGGAGACTAGGTGGAGCTGGGCCCTGGGAGCCCCGCAGGGGGAGGGGCAGGGCTGGTGAATTGGGCTGGACACTGGTTACAAGCCCTTGTCTTAGTCTCCTGGTCCTGCCGTAATGCAGATACCACGAGTGGGCAGCTTTGAAGAACAGAAATTTATTGTTTCAGAGTTTTGGAGGCTGGACGTCCAAAGCATGGTCTCGGCTGTGTTGACTGCTTTCTTGTCATTGGCCTTGGCCATTCCTTGGTTCCTTGGCTTGTAGGCAGTCCACACATGGCAGCTGTCTTCCCCTGTGTGTGCATGTGTGCCTCTGGTTCTGCTCTGCTCTTTGTATAACTCAGAAGTGATTTGGTTTAGAACCCACCCTACACAGGTATGACCTCATTACCGTAACAAGGAAAACCCTATTTCCAGACAGGATCACATCCACAGGGATAGAGATTAGGATTCCAAGACATATTTTCGGGGACACAGTTCAATCTATAACACTAAGTAAGGACCAGGTGCATACGCTGACAGGGTGCTTAGCCCCTGCCCCAGCCTCTGGGCCCATGTGCCGGCTTGGAGCACTGGGCCGGGTGATCCCAGGGTACTCAGCCCCTGACAGCGGTTGCCTGCCCACATTCACTTTCCCCCCTTGCTCACACAGTGAGGGCAGGCCTCGTCCCACAGCCTCTGCTGCTGGCAGCCCAGCGTAGCTCAGGTTTAAGAATGAAGCTTTTGTTGTCTTTGTTTTCTTTTTCTTTTTTGTGGCATGGGAGACTGGGTTTTCAGCTTGGCTGTGGTAGACACTTTCCTCTGGAAGCCTGTGTGCAAGCTAAAAACCCATGTGATTTACAGAGACGTGAAGGCAGTGGTCCAGGTAGAGCTCAGGTGGCACAGGCATGGGAGGGGGCCCTGCCCAGGACGGAGCTCGGGAGGCCCCGGCGCTGCATGAGGCACACGGTGATTGTGTGGCGGGGCTGGCCCAGGGCCCCGGGCTGACTGGCGATCCCTCTTCTCAGGTATGAGAAGCTCTGTGGGCGCCTGTCACACCTGAACCTGTGCGTGACCTATGCAATGAGAGAAGACTTGGCCCAGAACTGGAGCATCAAGTAGGAGGGGGTGGGGTGGCCATAGGCCTGGGGAGGCGAGGGGGCTGGGACCCCGGTGGTGGGGAGCTGCTGTGTCCTGGGGACTGGGAGATGGCTCCTGGTTTGGGAAGCGGGAGGAGGAGTCTGATGCTGCTTTCCCAGCCGGCCAGGTGGTCCAGGCAGCTTTGGGCTAAGAACACCTGTCTGCTTTTCCAGTGACTCTAAAGCGTCTCACGGTCACTGTCTGAGACTTGGATTCCCCGGGCCCCTTCCTTTTCTGGATCACCTGGGTCCTCTCTCCTGCTTTTCTCCACCCTCTTAAGGGCCCCTGTGATCTCGTTGCAGGGCTGTGACTGTCTATGACAAGCCGGCGTCCTTCTTCAGAGAGACCCCCCTAGACCTGCAGCACCAGCTCTTCGTGAAGCTGGGCTGCCTGCACCCCGCGTTCAGGGCCGGGTACGTTTCCCGTCTCCGCGCCCATAGCTGCGGCTGCCTCCTCTGAGCTCGCTGCTGGGCTAGTCTCTCCCCATCTGCTCACGCAGATCTGGGGTCCTCTAGGCCAGTGGTCAGCAAGATACGGCCACGGGTCAGCCACCTGGGTTTTTTTTTTTTTTTAAATAATTTATTTTTGTAGTTGTTGAGAATATATACAGCAGAACATACACCAGCTCAGCAATTTCTACAAGTACAGTTCAGCGACACTGATTATGTTCTTCAAGCTGTGCACCATTCCCACCCTCCTTCTCTGAGTTGTTCCTCCCCCATTAACACAAACTCACCACCCCCTAAAGCTCCTGTCGAACCCTTCGAGCTGCTGTTGTCAATTTGATCCCATATAGATAGGTCTTTTATTTATTTAATAATGTTTGATTGTGTTTCGGTGAAGGTTACACAACAGTTTCGGTTTCCATTCAACAATTTATACACAAGTTGTTCAGTGACATTGGTTACATTCTGCACAATGAGTGGACATTCGCATTACTTCTGTCCTGGTGTTTCCGTTTCTGTTCATCTGGTTTCCCTGCCCCTTATATTCTCATCTTTGTTTTAGGGTAATTGTTGACAGTTTGGTCTCATATAGGTGATTTTTTTTTTAAGGAGCACAGTACGTATGGGTTGATATGCATTATTTTTTGAGCCAGGCATCTCTTTTTTCCCCGTGGTGTTTGTATGCTTCTTCTTTTTCCTAAGTTTTATTTGTTTTGTTGTTGAGAATATGCACAGCGAAACATAACCAATTCAACAGCGTCTCCATGTGCAATTCAGTGACATTGATGACATTCTTCAAGTGTGCAGCCATTCCCACCCTCCTTCTCTGAGTTGTTCTTTCCTCATTAACATAAACTCACTGTCCCCTGATCTTTAGAGTTGCTGTTGTCAATTTTATCCCTTATATATAGTTCTTAAAAGAGCATAATGCTTAAGGAAGACATTTTTTACTAGTTAAGCTAAACTATTGTTTGGTTTTTAAGAAGACTTTAGGGGATATTTTTGGTTTAAGGTTTAAAGATTATCTGAGGGCATTGGTTTCAGGGGTTCATCCAGCCTCCATGGATCCAGAAAGTCTGGATTCCATGAGAATTGAGTGCTGTCCTGCGCTGTTCCTCTTTTGATTCAGCCACCTGTTTTGGTAAATAAACTTTTATTGGAACACGCCCGACCTATTCATTTACGTAATGCCTGTGGCTGCTTTTGTGCTATAACGGCGGAGTTGAAAGTTTCAACAGAGACCAAGTAGCTGGCATCTTTACCTGCCCCTAGCAGGTTCCTGACCCCACGGTGGGCTGTGTGACCTGCGTGGCCTCTGGGGCATCCCACAGGGCTGAGGAGAGGGCCTTTGTGTAGCTCTTCACATACACATTCTCCCATTTGCTCCTGTTGGGAACCCAGCATGGCTGCCGGGGTGGGTATTGCCATCCTCATTTTAGAGCGGAGGGAATGATAAGAACAGAAGCCCAGGGAAGGGAGGACTGAGACCGTCTTGTTTATCTTTGTAGCCTCAGCCCCTGGCAACACAAAATATTGTGAAAGTACCTGTCTGGGCCCCAGGCTCGGGGTGGCCAGGCTCACTCTGTGGTGGGTGACACCATTCTGGAGCCTGCCGCCTGCTTGTTACCATCTCATAGGCTTTGTCTCTGTTCCTCAGCTCAGAGCCCTCGGACCTCACCACGGAACGGTCGGCCTTTACGGAGCGGGACGTCACGAGCGGGCTGGTGACACACCAGCGTGGGCGGCCGGCCCTGTTGGTCAGCAGCACGAGCTGGACAGGTCTCTAGGACCCTCCCCTTGGGGCTTGTTAGGGTCGGTGTGGATGCCAGCTCCCTCACGAAGAAGGGGAGGGTGGATTGGGCTGGGTGGGGGCATCTGGAAATGGGCCCATGACGCTTAGTCCTCTCTCCTTGTAGAAGATGAAGACTTCACCATCCTGCTGGAAGCCTTAGAAAGTAGGTGTGTGGCTGTCACCAGCAGCCCTGCGTGTGCCGGGGGCTGCCGCGCTGCTTGCCGGCCTTGCACAGCGCCCTGGGTGGCGTGTTCCTGCCCTCGGGGCCGGGGGGTGTGGCGGGGCAGGCAGCTCCAAGACCCCATCTGGGTTATTGAGTGACGGGCCGACGTCCGAACACTGCTCCCCGGGAGAGTGGTCTCCAGAGGACTGGCGGCTACCTGGCTGGGCCCAAGGCCCCTCCCCCACCTCCCCTCCCCTGGTTAGGTGACCCTGGTTATCCTTCATGTGTCTGTTTTATTTTAAACACAGAGTTTGAACGGCTGACTGTTGATGGAGAAAATCTTCCCTCTCTCGTCTGTGTGATAACAGGTGCTGCCCTGGATGCTCAGTGTGCCTCTGTCTAGGTGGGGGGTGGGAGAAGGGGCAGAAGGACGGTGCCCTTTGTTATAAGTCTGCCTGCCACATGCCGGGCCCTCCATGTCCGTGGTCTCCTTCACCCCATGGAGGCTCTCAGGTGCTTTCTACACCCGCTTCCCAGAGGGTCGGACTCTGACTTGGATACAGACTTAACTCATGCTTAGGCCCTTGGGGCCCCGTGAGACTCAGAGACGGCACGGCAGCTCTGGGAACGTGAGGTCTTACAGTGCAGGGGGCTTCTGCGAGAGTGGCTGCTTCTGCCCAGGAATGTTCCCCAAGCCCAAGTCCGTGGCCAGGGCTGGGGATGGGTCAGCACAGTGACTCTGCTCTGTGCCCAGGCAAAGGGCCGCTGAAGGAGCACTACAGCCGCCTCATCGGCCAGAAGCGCTTCCGGCATGTCCGTGTCTGCACCCCGTGGCTGGAGGCCGAGGACTACCCCCTGCTCCTGGGTAAGCAAGTCCCAGCAAGAGCCCGGAGGGAGAAGGCTGAGGTTTCAAAGGTGTCTTAGTTATTTAGTGCTGCTATAACAAATACAAGGAGGTGGCTTTCATAAACAAATTCACTTTCTCACAGTTTAGGAGGCTTGAAGTCTGACTTCAGGGCACCAGCTCTAGGGGAAGGCTCTCTCTCGCTGTGGGGGAAAATCCTTGTCTCAGCTTCTCCACCGTTCTTCTTGGAGTTCCTTGGTGATCTCCATGTGGCATCTATCTTTCCCCGATTTGTGCTTGCTTGTCCGTGTCTAATCTGCTCCTTTTTTATCTGAAAAATGAGTAAGTTTAAGGCACACCCTACACTGAATGGCCTCATTAACATAACACAGGAAACCCTAATCCCAAATAGGATTATATCCATATAGGGGTTAGGATTCTAATACATATTTTTTGGGGGAATTTGATCCATAACAAAAGGAGATACTCTAGGACAGGATACCGTAATTTTTTGTAAAGGGCCAGGTAGGAAGTATTTACTAGCCTTTGTCACATATTTCTTGTTTGTTCTTACATCCCTTTAAAATTTTTAAAAACTATTCTCAGCTCCCACCATGTGCCTGTCGGTGTGTCATACTGTGGTGGCTTACATCAGTGACAGGATAATATCCATACGACTACAAGGAAGACCAGTTAATACGACTATTATCCAAATTTATACACCAACCACTAGGGCCAAAGATGAGGAAACTGGAGATTTTTACCAACTTCTGCAGTCTGAAATTGATCAAACATGCAGTCAAGATGCGTAGGTAATTACTGGCAATTGGGATGTGAAAGTTGGAAACATGACTGCAAGTTGGAAAATATGGCCTTGGTGATAAAAACGATGCTGGAGATTACATGAGGTGAGAATTTTGCAAGAACAATGATTTCTTCATTGCAAATACCTTTTTTCAACAACATAAATGGTGAGTATACAGGTGGACCTCGCCAGATGGAATACACAGGAATCAAATCGACTACATCTGTGGAAAGAGACGATGGAAAAGCTCAATATTATCAGTCAGTACAAGGTCAGGGGCCGACTGTGTAACAGACCATCCATTGCTCATATGCAAGTTCAAGTTCAAGTTGAAGAAAATTAGAACAAGTCCACAAGAGCCAAAGTACAACCTTGAATGTATTCTATCTGAATTTAGAGACCATCTCAACAATAGATTTAATGCATTGAACACTAAGGACCGAAGACCAGATGAGTTGTGGAATGACGTTAAGGACACCATACGTGAAGAAAGCAGGAGACCATTAAAACGACAGGAAAGAAAGAGCAGACCAAATTGGATGTCAGAAGAGACTCTGAAACTTACTCTTGAATGTCAAGTAGCTAAAGTGAAAGGAAGAAATGATGAAGTAAAAGATCTGAAGAGGATTTCAAAGGGCGGCTCGAGAAGACAAAGTAAAGTATTATAATGAAATGTGCAAAGACCTGGAGATAGAAAACCAAAAGGGAAGAACACGCTTGGCATTTCTCAGGCTGAAAGAACTGAAGAAAAAATTCAAGCCTCACATTGCAATATTGAAGAATTCTATGGGGAAAATATTAAACGACACAGGAAGTGTCAAAAGAAGATGGAAGGAATACACGGATTCACTGTACCAAAAATAATTGGTCAACATTCAGCCATTTCTGGAGGTAGCATGTGACTAAGAACTGATGGTACTGAAGGAAGAGGTGCAAGCTGTACTGAAGGCATGGGCAGAAAAAAAAAAGGCTCCAGGAATTGACGGAATATCAACTGAGATGTTTCAACAAACGGATGCAGCACTGGAAGCATTCCCTTGTCTACGCCAAGGAATTTGGAAGACAGCTACCTGGCTAACCAACTGGAAGAGATCCATGTTTATACCCATTTCAAAGAAGGTGATCCAACAGAATGCGGAAATTATCAAACAATATCATTAATATCACCCACAAGTAAAATTTGCTGAAGATAATTCAAAAGCGGTTGCAGCAGTACATCAACAGGGAACTGCCAGAAATTCAAGCCCGATTCAGAAGAGGACATGGAACAAGGGATATCACTGCTGATGTTAGATGGATCATGGCTGAAAACAGAGAATATCAGAAACATGTTTACCTGTGTTTACTGACTATGGAAAGGCATTTGACTGTGTGGATCATAACAAATTATGGATAACATTGTGAAGAATGGGAATTTCACACCACTTAATTGTGCTCACGAGGAACCTATACTTAGACCAAGAGGCAGTTGTTTGAACAGAACAAGGGGATACTGTGTAAAGTCAAGAAAGATGTGCGTCAGGGTTGTGTCCTTTCACCATACTTATCAGTCTGTATGCTGAGCAAATAATCCGAGAAGCTGGGCTACGTGAAGAATGTGGCATCAGGATTGGAGGAAGACTCATTAACAACCTGTGATATGCAAATGACACAACCTTCTTTGCTGAAAGTGAAGAGGACTTGAAGTACTTACTGATGAAGATCTAATTCTTCAGCCTTCAGTATATGGATTACACCTCAGCATAAAGAAAGCAAACATTCTCACAACTGGACCGATAAGCAACATCATGATAAATGGAGAAACGATTGAAGTTGTCAAGGATTTCATTTTACTTGGATCCACAATCAACACCCATGGAAACAGCAGTCAAGAAATCAAAGGATGCATCATCGCATTGGGCAAATCTGCTGCAAAAGATCTCTTTAAGGTGTTGAAAAAGCAAAGATGTCACTTTAAGGACTAAGGTGCACCTGACCCAAACCATGGTGTTTTCAGTTGTCTCATATGCATGTGAAAGCTGGACAGTGAATAAGGAAGACCGAAGAAGAATTGATGGTTTTGAATTGTAGTGCTGGTGAAGAATATTGAATATACCGTGGACTGCCAGAAGAACAAATCTATCTTTGAAGAAGTACGGCCTGAATGCTCCTTAGAAGCGAGGATGGTGAGATTTCATCTCACATACTTTGTACATGTTATCAGAAGGGGCCGGTTCCTGGAGAAGGACATCATGCTTGGTAAAGTAGAGGGTCAGTGAAAAAGAGGAAGACCCTCAATGAGATGGACTGACACAGTGGCTGTAACAACAGGCTCAAGCATAACAATGATTGTGACGATGGTGTAGGACCCTAGGCAGCCTTTCGTTCTGTTGTACGTAGGGTTGCTGTGAGTCGGAATTGATGTGATGGCACCTAACAACGACATTGTCAGCTCAAGGGGTCTCAGGCGGATTTGGCCCTGCCTTGGACCCTGCTCGGGGTCCTGGGAAGAGGGTGTCGTGTGTGGCCTGCTAGGCAGCTGTTGGCGAGCGCTGGCTGGACGCCAGGTGAGGAGGCTGTAGCCTGTTGCACAGCTCCTCCTGGCTTGGAGCTGTTTGCCAGCGGGTGACAGAGGGCCGGGACCTCTTCATCTCTGCTTTCACGAGTCCCTGCCTCCCATGCCCTCCAGTCAGTCCTGTTCTTTTGTCCCAGGTAGGGTTGGGGCCCACCCTGTCCCTCAAGTGTGGGCGGGTGATGGCTTTGGGACAAGCATTAAACATTGTTGACTGTCTGCAAGAACGTCACTCCCTTTTTAGTCTCTTTCCGTCTCATTACTCCGACGAGGAGGGACATGTTGGCTCAGTGCTGATGTGCTGCTCACATGCCTTCTTCCAGCCTCAGGTCTCAGAGAGCCTGGTGTCCCCAGCTAATGTTCCCTTGTGTTAAGTTGCTTTGTTGTTGTTGTGTGCCAACTCATAGCAACCCCATGTGACAGAACTGCCCTATAGGGTTTCCCAGGCTGTAATCTTTTTGTTTTTTAAATTGCGCATTAGGTGAAAGTTTACAGAGCAAATTAGTTCGTCATTAAACAATACACGTTTCGTGACATTGGTTGCCAACCCCGCAGTGTGTCTACACTATCCTTCTTGACCTTCGGTCCCCCATTTCCATTTGTCCAGCTTTCCTGTCCCCTCCTGCCTTCTTGTCCTTGCACTGGGTTGGTGTGCCCATTCAGTCTCCTATACATGGTTGAAGTGCGTGTGTTGTTTTATACGCCTATCTAATCTTTGGCTGAAGGGTGAACTTCAGGAGTGACTTCAGTACTGAGCTAAAAGGGTGTCCGAGGGCCATACTCGGGGTTTCTCCAGTCTATGTCAGACCAGTAAGTCTGGTCTTTTCTGTGTGTGCTTTAGATGAAGGTTTACAGAGCGAATTAGTTTCTCATTAAACAATTAATACACAGTTCTCTGACATTGGTTGCCAGCCCCGTGATGTGTCTACACTCTCCTCTTCTCGACCTGGGGTTCCCCATTTCCATTCATCCAGCTTTCCTGTCCCTTCTTGCCTTCTTGTCTTGCCCCTGGGCTGGTGTGCACATTTAGTCTCATACACAATGGTTGAGCTACAGTGGGGTGCTGTCCGATTTCCAGGTGGCACCAACTCAGTCCTGGCAGGATTTGCAGTTGTTCTGACATTCCCCTCGCCCTTGCTCGTAGGGTCTGCAGACCTGGGCGTCTGTCTGCACAAGTCTTCCAGTGGCCTGGACCTGCCCATGAAAGTCGTGGATATGTTTGGGTGCTGCCTGCCTGTGTGTGCTGTGAACTTCCAGTGGTAGGAGCTGAAACCCCGTCTTCCCCAGGGCTGTGGGGGGAGTCCAGGCGTGGTCAGACCACCTGGGAGGCACCCTCGGGAAGGTGCCATGTGCCCCCCAGAGTGAGCCCCTGGCGGAGCCTGTGGTTGGGCTGAGCCCCACCGAGGTGGTGGCTTCTGTTATAGCTCATGCTGGATAAAGCATAGGTCTTGATGTGAGCCTTCCCCTCGGGGCTAATGCACAGAGAACATACGGTCGGCTGCAAGTGCCTGCACAGTTTACCTCGTGCCCCCTTCCTTTTTCTGGCTGTGCTCACGTAGTTGAAGGTGAACAAGTTAAATGAGTGTGACGCTGTGACTGCTGTACCTGGCAGACACGGGCGAGGGGAGGGCACTCGCTGTGGAAATTCTAGAAACAGCAGCCTTGGCACGAGCGAGTTCCCGGTGCCGGCTGAGAACCAGCCCCCGGGTTGGAAGTACAGGTTGATCTCAGAACCTTGTGTGAGCCGAGCTCCGGGCACACTGAGTCAACCCCTTGTTACCCAGAAAGGTCCTCCTTGGTGTGCCCAGCCTGCCTCGGGCAGGGTTGCCTCTTGCCTGGTTTCTCTGGCACAGGTTGACAGTTCAGAAGGGATCCTTGAATACCTCCTCACTGAAGAGGCCAGCAGCAGAGGGCCAAGCCTCCTCTTGCCCTCTCTCCCCTCTCCCAGAATTCACAGGTGTGAATATTTGATGCACAGTCGATTCTCGCTGCGTCCGGAAGTTGCCATGAACACGTGGTTAACAGTACTGAACCACGCTCCTGGGGAGGTGCAGGGTTAAGTCCCTGTGAGCCTCTGGTCATGGCGTTTTCATCAACCAATCAGTAACCCACTGCCGTGGAGTCGATGCTGACTCATAGTGACGACGCTGTAGGGCAGAGGAGAACTGCCCCGTAGGGTTTCCAAGGCTGTAAATCTTTGTGGAAGCAGACTGCCACATCTTTATCCCGCAGAGCAGCTGGTGGGTTTCAACTGCCAACATTGTGGTTAGCAGCTGAGCGCTTGAACCAGTGCGCCACCAGGGCGCCTGCCTTATTTAATATAAACCTGAAACCCATTGCTGTCGAGTTGACTTCAACTCACAGCAACCTTGTAGACAGAGCAGAACTGCCCCAGTGTTTCCAAGGAGTGGCTGGTGGATTCGAACTGCTGACCTTTTGGTAAGCAGATGATCTCTGTACCACTGTGCCACCAGGGATATATATATATATATTTTAATTTTATGTATTTTGTTGTTGTTGAAAATGTACGCGCCAGAACATACGCCAGTTCAAGAGTTTCTACGAGTATAATTCCGTGACCCTGATTACATTCTTCAAGTTGTGCAGCCATTCTCACAATTTCCGAGTTGTCCCTCCCCCATTAACACACTCACTGCCCCGTAAGTTTCCTAGCTAATCTTTTGAATTGTTGTTGTCAATTTGATAATATACAGTTGATGCATGAACACTGAACTCACACCCAACAGCACCGTAAGACGTGTGAACGAAGCTTATCTAACACGCATTTTCCCTGGAGGGCACGTCACTCGCCCTTATTAACACTGGACGGCGCTGCAGCTCTACGCTCCGGCCGTCCGACACAGCGAACTCACCCACAGAAAGCACAAACGTGAGAACACGGCACTAAGCAGACTGCACACAGGACGCGTGTTTGCACTACGAGAGGGGACAAGGAGGCCGAGTGGCGCCTTGTTCCGCCTCAGCCGGGAATGGGCACGTGGGGCGACCCAGACCTTTCCCTGCTCCACACGTCGGCGAATTAACTGTGCCAGTGCTGCCAGTATTGATTGGGGGTTACCAACACAAGTTGAGTGAGTAGGTGAACTTGCAAATGTGGAATCTGTGAATAATGAGGATTGACCCTAGGGCTCCCAGGTCTTTTTCTATCCAGATCCAGATCTAAGAACAGACTCTGAACCCAAACTGACCTGTTCCTGACCCCCAGCCTGTGGGTGGGGTAGGTCAGGGTGGCACCCCAGAGTTCCGAATTCTCGTCCAGGCGGCGGCTCTCAGGCCTCCCTTGGTTTTCTCTCTGCAGTTTGCAGGAGCTGGTGAAACACGAGGAGAACGGCCTGGTCTTCCGGGACTCGGAGGACCTGGCAGCTCAGCTGAAGGTAGCCATGTTTGCTGACCGACCCCTGGTTCCGGCTGCCGCGGGGGACCACGGGGGTCTGGATGGAGAGCGGACAAGGGGATGGGGGGAGGGCAAGCAGGCCGGCTGGGCCCCCTTTGCTGCCTGCATTTCATGGGCTCAGTGGGCTTGGGCAATTGGGACACGCTTTGTGGACTTGTGGAGTTTACAGATGTGAGTGCCGTTGAGAGAGGTGTCCCCAGGGAGTGTTCAGGGTCAGGAGGGAGACAGAGGGCTGGAGGGAACTTCTGGACCAGTTGGGAAAGGTGGAGGATTCTTAAAACAATGTTCATCATTTCTTTATTGTAAATCGAGGTGAAAATATACACACCGGTCCAACGATTTCCACGTGTACAATTCTGTGACACTGGGTTACCTTCTTCAAGTTGTGTGACTCTTCTCAGCCTCCTTTTCCTAATCATTCATTAACATAAACTCAGTGTCCCCTAAGCAAACACTCCCCCTTCCCCCCTCCTCCCCACCCTTGCTAACTACTGTTAATCTCTGGTTTCTGTATGTGAGATTTCGCTCAGCCTGATGTTTTCAAGGTTCATCCGTGTAGTGGATACTCATTTCTTATTATAAGAAGCAATACATCATCATTCTTGATTTAGAGTGGGGGTCGGCAAACTGTTTCCATAAATGGCCAAACAGAAAATATTTTAGGTTTTGCCATACAGTCTCTGTGGCAACTACTCACCTCTGCCCTTATAGCGTGAAAGCAGCCATAGACAGTCTAAGCAAAGGGGTGTGGCTGTGTGCCAATAAAACTACACAGATGGGGCGGACTGGATTTGGCTGGCAGGCCGACATGTGCTAACCCCTGATTTAGACAATATGGCAAAGCCAAAAAGAAGAACGTGGGCATCACCCTGTTCTCAGCAGACAAGCAGGACTGAGCCAGGCAGGGGCTGAGAGGAGGGTACTCTTGGGGGAAGGGAGAGCCGAATGGAGGCCTGGAGAGCTGAGTGGAGGCCAGAAGAGCCGCCAGGACACACGTGTCTGGGAGATAGTGTTGCCGGTGGCTGGGATGAGGACAGGGATGGAGACACGGGGGAGTCTCTAGGAGAAGTGTCCAGTAGGAGATGGAGCAGGAAGGCAAATTCACTGCTGGGTGTAAAGGTTTGGACTGCTGGGGAGGGATGTGGACTCGGGAGGGTGGCTTTGCCAGGTGGGCACATTGGGGTCAGTGCTGAGCTGTGCTGGAGGGGCCAGCCAGGTGGTAGGTGGGAGCTGGTCGGAGCTGGGAGCCCAGCTGGGAGACTCCAGGGAAAGGGTGACAGAGGGAGCTAGTGTCTTGGGCGGGCAGAGTCCCAGGCGAAGGAGAAGGGACTGCTCTGGGTGGGTGGGGGTAGGCGGGGGTGGAGGATACTGACGAGTTAAGTCGTGGTCCTTGTTTTTCTTGTAGATGCTTTTCTCAAAGTTTCCCGATCCTGCTGGCAAACTGAACCAGTTCCGGAAGAACCTCCGGGAGTCCAGGCAGCTTCGCTGGCATGAGAGCTGGAAGCAGACAGTGCTCCCTTTGCTTGTGGACACATGACCACTTGGGCCAGAGATGAACCCCCTCGACTTGTCCATCCACCTGAAGTCCCTCACGCTGATGCCCCTGCCCTCTCTCATCCTGAGCCCCCTTCTCGCCCAGAGCAGGCCCACTCCCCTCCTTGCAGGCTCCTCTGGCTCTGCACACGCGTCCGCGCAGCACCACCCAGTGGCAGGAAGCGGAAAGCCACCTTTTGCAGTTACACTGCTTTACGACCCAGGAGCTGTAGTTCTCCTGGTTTCTTCCGTGGGGTTACCGCCCGTCTCCTTTTTGTCTGTCTGTCATCCGGGTCATCAACTCTCTGTTACTTGCGTGTGACCGCCTTAGCATCTCTGTCCCTGGACTCTCCGTGTCTGGTCTGCCCTGCGTCTCTCCTAAGCTCTGGTTCCTGACTTGAGAACAGGCTCCCAGGTGCTGCGCTGTCGGGGGCGGATGGACCCGCGTGAACAGGCCGGCTTCCTGACGAGTGCGAGGACTCAGGCTGGGGACAAACTTCCTTGATGTTTTTACTTGCACAAATGAAACGCTTATCTTTGAGCCAAATTCTCATTTCTGGTTTATGGTGAATTGTAAAGAATCAGAACGGCCGGCAGGAAGGGCACCGCCACACCTGGGCTCACACTGGTATTTCGTTACGATAGTTGGTGGTTCCTGATTCAGAATTTAATGCTCCTCAAAAATTCGTGTCCGGTGAAAGGTTTACCTGCTTCTCCACGATGATGGTTTTTCGAGTCATGACTGAACCTTCCTGTGACCCTCCAGGACGGCTGGGAGGGCTACAGCGTCAGTTTCAGCATTCCCATCTCCGAGAGCACTTCATACGGAAACAGTTTCTGGTCATGACGAGGCACTGCTTCCCATCGGATCCCAGCCCGGCCTAGGGACAGAAAGCACACACCTCAGCCCAGTGGTGTCGGGACAGGACACGGCCTGTCAGTGTGGGGCTGCCAGAACGGCTCTGGGGTGTGTGCGTGTGCAGGGGTGTGCGTGTGGGAGTGTGTGAGTAGGGGTCTGTGCATATATGTGTAAGTGTGTATGTGTAGGGGAGTGTATGTATATGTGTAGGGGTTTGTGTGTGCACGTATGTGTATATGTATAGGAGTGTGTGGGGGTGTGTGTGTATGGGTTTGTGTGTGCATGTATGTGTGTGTGTCATGGATTGAATTATATCTCCCCCAAAATATGTGTCAACTTGGTTAGGCCATGATTCCCAGTATTGTGCGGTTATCCTCCACTTCATGATTGTAATTTTATGTTAAAGAGGATTAGGGCGGGATTGCAACACCATCACTAAGGTTACATCCCTGATCCAGTGTAAAGGAAGTCTCCCTTACAAGAGATGAAAGGGAGGCGAGCAGAGTGGGAACCTCATACCACCAAGAAAGCAGTGCCAGGAGCAGAGCGCATCCTTTGGACCCAGGGTCCCTGCACAGAGAAGCTCCTAGTCCAGGGGAGCATTGATGAGAAGGCCGACAGAGAAAGAAAGCCTTCCCCTGGAGCTGACGCCCTGAATTTGGACTTCCACCTTACTTTACTGTGAAGAAATAAACTTCTCTTTGTCAAAGCCGTCCACTTGTGGTATTTCTCTTAGAGCAGTGCTAGATGGCTGAGACAGCGTCTGTATGTGTAGGTGTGTGCGTGTAGGGCTGCCAGGTCTTAGGACAGTGTCTGGCCCACAGCAGACCAGTGCAGGGCTGTCTGGCTGGATAAATGGCTGGCCCCTCGCACTGTCCCTACAACCATCCCTGGCTCTTGCTGCTCCAGAGCACTCATTGCTCCGAGGCACTGCTCTAGGCGCGGTGCAGGTTCATCAGGTTCACCTCCGAGGTGGGTGTTTCCAGTTACAGACAGGGACACTGAGCCCAAGGAGGCCCCGCAGTGTGGGTGGAGGGACAGGCCTCCAGGCCTGCGCTCTCCACCACAAGACCTTGCTGGCCCGACACCACCAGGTCGGCCATCACCCCGTCCTACACACAAGGGAACGGAGGCCGAAGGCTTATGGAACCTGCTCTCACATACAATAGGACAGCTGGCCGCAGACCTCCCGCCATCACAGTGCGGTGCTGCCTCCTGCCCTCAGCGCTCAGGCAGGCTGCCTTGAGCCCACCTGCTTACCAGCCCTGCCTCCTGCCCTCAGCGCTCAGGCAGGCTGCCTCGAGCCCACCTGCTCACCAGCCCTGCCTCCTGCCCTCAGCGCTCAGGCAGGCCACCCTGAGCCCACCCACTCACCATCCCACCCACTCACCATCCCACCCTCCTGCCTCCACTGCAGAGGGTGAGGGTGCTGCCAGCCCTGCTGGCGGTGCTTACTTACTTATATTTTCTGCCTAACTGGACTCCTCCGTGGGGACAGGGCAGCCCCAGTGGTTCTTTCCCGTCCTGCAGGAGGGCCCGGGGCTTACCTAGCTCGGCTGTGAACAGCTGGCACGTCTCCAGGTTACGTATGGTGAAGGCGATGTAGGCATCCAGAGCGGAGCGGTCCTTCCGGCACGCCGAGAGTGTCTGCAGCACCGCGACCAGGGAGAGGATGGTTTCCGGGCAGTACAGCACATCTACGAGGCAAAGCCAGAGGTTACCACGGGGCATCCTTTAGGGCCCAGGGCTTCAAGAGGGACAGTGTGGCTTTGTTGGCCTTGTGCCTGGAGAGCAGCAGCTGCATCAGATTTGTGTTACTAAACTGAACGAAAATCACTTGAGCAGGGAAGGAAAACCAGAGAGAAAAAAGCTGCTAGAACGCACTGCAGCGAACGACAAATCCCAGGACTGGGTGGTGTTCCTTTAAAAAAAGTTAGTGCTTTGTCGATTAGCCTGTTCAGAAGATGCCGTGGACTCTGTCTCTGATGGTCTCCCCGTCAGCTGCAGTGGGGGTGCGTTCATGCCTGCTTGCCTGACAGGTGCAAGGAGCAGGCTGTGCCTCCAGCCCCTGCGAGGTTGTGAGTGTCAGGGCAGTGGCCTGGACAGCTGAGTGAGCTTGGCAGGGGGTGGGGTCTAGGAGTGGCCACGCCAAACACCACCATATCTCAGGGACACTGTTCTCACACCAAAAGTAGGTGGTTCCCTCCTGAGAGACGGGTCATGGACCTGGACCATGACACACCGATGGGGACGCTGCAGGGACACAGATGTGATGACAATGGGGACCCCAGAGCAGATGGAGGTGAGGCAACACAGTGCCCCGTCCCCTGCCCAGCCCACCTCTGCCGCCCAAGCCGATGCCCAGCCCTGGGCTGGTGGGACGCATAGACGAACAGGACATGGTCCTAGGAGAAGTATGCAGTGCCCTGGGAACTGAGGGAATAGACTGCCGTGGGTGGCCGTTTCCACCCTACACCTGGAGATGGTGAGGTGCCAGTGTCTCGGGGGAGTAGGGGGAGGAGGAGGAGGCACGGGGGGGCCCATGGCTCCCCCTGAGATATGGCCGCTCTGGCTGTTTCACACAGCTCTGGCGGGCCTGAGACACTTCCCTCAGGTGCTGGAGAGGGAAACCCCATCTGTCCCCGCAGCTGGGGTCTGGCTGAAGGGTTGGCCTGGGGTGGCCCCTGTCACCTGGTCTGCTGGAGAGGGAAACCCCATCTGTCCCCGCAGCTGGGGCCTGGCTGCAGGTTTGGCCTGGGGTGGCCCCTGTTGCCTGGTCTGCTGG